AACATAAACATCGATTTTATGTGTCATTTATTGATTTTCGCAAAGTGGTTGATTTGGTAAATAGACAAAAGTTGTTATATTTTTTTGCATAATAGAGGAATTGGCGGGAAGATATTTAATGTTTTGATTGTTGTGTATTCAAAGGTAATGCTGGTGTTAAATCTGGTAATAGAAGGTCAGATTCATTTTGTACAAACGTCAGGTGTTGAGCCCAGGTTTTTTTGGGTTTTTATTTTTTTATAAATACGTTAGTGTTGGAGTATAAACAGAGCCGTTTGGGGGCTATATTTGTTCTTGAAACTATAGAGGAAAATCTGTTACTTTTATTTGGCAGATGATCTTGTTTTGTTAGACGATTCTGTGATTGGCCTACAAAACTAACTAAATGTTTTGGAAGTTTATTGTTTGAAATGAGGACTGAAGGTAAAGCTGGCGTTGTGATGCGTGGACGTCCACTTCTTGGTCTGTCTACGGGGACCCCAGTCTGTCTGAAGCCCTGAATACGTCTTATAACCGTGATACGATGGCATTCGAGGGCGTTCGCAACATCATTGTATGTCAACCTTATCTGCACCATTACAATGGCTCTTTCTCTCTCTTCAGCTGTTAATCGTGGCATATTTCTCGTAGTTGTGTTTCATATCATGCATTCTAGGCTCTCTTTATACCCTATAGAATCATTCTACATGGGAAATGGATGCAAATACTGCTTGCATATTTCTGCGTTTGGCGATTGATATTGCTGTGTGTAAACAGAAAATGGAAAAATGTTACTTTGCAAGCAAAAATGTTCATAAAGATAATTTTAGATGTTCCTAAATATTTTTTAACAATATCAAAGACACGTTTTACTTGTTTTCACTAATGCAAATCAGCAGAAAATGTTTTAAAAGACTGAAATCATAGGAATGATTAGTTTACAATTTTACACATCCTACAACAGTTGCTTCTTATTTTAATACTTGAAAAATAGGGTCTTTCAATGGTTTATCTTTGTCCCAAACCAGAATTATATTTCAACCTTTCATTTGGACATCTAAATCACTGTTGTTGGTTTATTTCGGCATGGACGAAAATAGGACAATTTAACTCTTCTGAAAAGGATGCATTTCAGCTAAATTTCAATGCATTTGAGAATTTGTTTTTCGTGATTTGCATAAAGCTGTGTTGTTAAGTTTTCTTGTAAACTAATACCTTGTAACATATCTTTGCTAGTTTATAAGTAATTCAGAAATGGAGTAGGCTTGTTTATATATATAAACAAGTGATTTCTGCAGGTGTATAAGCAATAAATATATAAAATATGAGTCCAGATATTAATCTCTTTTATGTCTTTATATCTTTATATCTTTATAAAGGAGATTTGGCAAGAAGAAATATCTGGACTCATATTTTTTATTATAACATAAATATATCCTGAGAAAATGATACATTTACACATACCTTTACACACATATATGTAGAACACACAAAAATATATCAAAGATTTCAACTTGCTTGCAGCTACAATATATTTGGCGCTTTCAAAAGAATATAGATTCATTGCTTTGATGAAGTTGTCTATGCTTGAGAGGGGATTGTTCATCCAGGGAAAATAAGTAGTTCTTAATTCTTCAAGTGAGGACAAATGAATATAAAATATGTTTCATCCTCAATGCTTTTTTGCCCCTCTTGTTGTAAACAATAGATACAGTATCTTTCATTTTTGTCAGTTTTCGCCCATCTCCCAGTTTCAACTGCAAGCTTATGATTTGAGCATCTAAAGCGGTATAGGGCTATTCTCAGGGTTTTCTCCCTGATCTGTACTAAATATTCTTCTGATCCCAACAGCGATTTGAGGAGTCTGTAGTGTGTGAGCCTGCTGTTTGCCTGTAAATCACTGGGAAATTGCTGACAGAAGTTGTCAGTAAGTTTCTGTTTAACAAGAGATAGAAAGTAGGTCACATCCCCTACACCCTGCTGTAAGCATGAGTAGCTCAATCCTAGGTGGTCAAGCAGTGTCCTCACATGAGTAGCCCAGGTTATCCTCCCCGCTCTATCCAGCTGTATGGACATACTGTAGCAGGCTTTAGGGTATCTACGGTTTGACATAAACTCTGTCAAAAAAAGAAACGCAACCCCTGTCCTCAGATATGAAAAATTCGTTTGAATGAAGTTATTGCTTCCAAACTAAATTTTATTCGAATGTATTGAAATGATACACGTAATTAATGAAGATTACCATCCAAACAACTGCATTTGTACGCATAAGTGTATTTTATTGCTTATTCCGTCACAACGCATGAAATGACCCTCATGGTGACTTCGCACAAAAAAAACACATGCAAATCATGAAAATGGCAGTTAATGTAGGGGTGTATAAAAGCCCATGTGCTTCCGTATTATATTCATTCATTTGTCGCCGAAAAGCTGTGTTAAAAATGCCACGATTGAGTGCTGCCGACCGAAATATCGCCATTGGTCGTGTTCAAGCCGGAGAAAGTTTTGGAACTGTTGCACGGCACCTAAATGTTCACAAAACAACGATATCCCGACTTTGGAGCCGCTACAACAACTTCAATTTGACCAACGATCGCCCGAGAAGTGGAAGGCCAAGAATCACGGCCCCCCTTCAAGATCGGTACATCCGGGTCCATCACCTGCGTAATCGGCATGCCCTACCAACCGTGACTGCCACACAAATACCAGGTTTGAGGAGAGTGTCAGCTCAAACGATTAGGAACCGTCTGAAAGAAGCGGGTTTACGTGCCTGTAGACCAGTTGTTGGACCTGTACTACGCCCCCTACATCGACGCCGACGACTCAGGTGGTGCAACAACGTAAGGATACGGACTTTACAAAACTGGAGGCGAATCTGGTTTTCTGATGAATCACGTTTTCTTTGCAACGTCACGACGGAAGACAGCGTCTGTATAGGAGACGTCATAAACGTTTTGCGCCCATCTGCGTCCGACAGGTGGACAGATTTGGCGGAGAAAGCGTCATGGTTTGGGGAACCATCTCATACAACCAGAAATCAGACTTGGTGATCGTTCCAGGGAACCTGACAGCCCAACGTTACATCAACCACGTGTTAGAGCTTCACCTTCTCCCGATTATTGACCAACAGACACAGATTTTTCAACGGGACAACGCCCGGCCTCATACTGCACGTGCAACAATGAACTTTCTGCAGAATTCCAACGTCAATGTCTTGCCATGACCCTCTAAATCACCAGACCTCAACCCTATTGAACACCTGTGGGATACTCTGGATCGACGCGTACGTCAACGTCAGCCGCCGCCACAGACGCTGCAACAGCTCGCCGTTGCACTGCAGGAGGAGTGGAGAGCCATTCCCCAGGAAAGAATCCGGCGTCTTATCCGTTCTTGTCCAAGGAGATGCCGTGCAGTGATTGCAGCGCGTGGTGCTCATACGAGATACTGAGAAAGACGCCCCCCCTGGTGACAAACTGGTGTCTGTGAGATGACTTTTGAAAGGACAATTTTAAACATGCCCATCTGGGTTATTATTCTGCCAAATTTCAGACTTCTGTCTTAAATAATAAAAATGCCGTGTCGTCCTAAAACTTCAGATCAAAATCTCTAAAATACAGGGGTTGCGTTTCTTTTTTTGACAGAGTTTATGTAGTAGAGTAAGCCAGAACTTGATGCACTTAGTCATGTACATGACATAGAGGGGGTATCTACCAAGCTCTCCATAAATAACTGTAGTGTTTGAGCTTGAGCTGAAACACAGTAGCTTTCTACAGAATTTGATATGAATCTCCCCGGTGTTGTACACTGGCTGATAACCCCATATATCTGCTGCATAGGTAAGTGTGGGTACCACCATCCTGTCAAACAAATACAGTGCATCCTTATGATTAAGGTGTGTGCTATATATAAACCTCAGCAGCATGTCCATTGCATTCTCATCTTGTTGAGATAGTGCCGATGTGGCCAGACTCCAGGATAGTTCAGGTGCGAAGCATGCTCGAAGATACTTATAAGAGTTAACCACTTCCAGTCTTTCACCTTTATAGTACCATCGCTCATTTTCTTTTAGTTTCCCTCCTCTTCTAAACGCTATAACACTTGTCTTTTCCAGATTCACTTTCATCTCATACAGGTCACATAAATGTTTGGAGTGTCCAGCTGTTGGTTCAGTCTCCCAACTGAAGAGCTAACGTTAGCAATATCATCAGCATGCATAAGAGCTGTGATATTATCAATATCAGTGTTCACAAATATGCCTCTTCAGTTTGTAGCTTCATACATCTGTGACAGCTCCTTCAGAAACATTGTAAATAAGATAGGACTCACCATACAACCCTGCCGGGTACCCACTTTGCAGGCAAGATACTCAGATAAAGTTAATCTGTTAATCATAACACAGATAATCATAAAATACTACTTGTTAAACTCTGTTTTCTAAATAACTGTCGAACCATTTCAGATAACCTTGGATACCATAAGCGTTAAGTTTAGGATGATACCTTCATGCCATACAATATTAAAAGCTTTGCTTACATCACAAAAATACCCAGCTCTCATTTCTATACCTTTGTCTAATGCACTATCGATAAAATTGTGAGTAGATATGATGTTGAGTCGGTGTCGGCTCAGGATTTTTTATAAGGCTCAGGACGTCGACAAGCGGTATGCTTTGAAGTTATTGGGTGTTATTTTAGCACCTGGCTAATCACCTGTGACTCTGATTCAGCGTCTACATCTTTAATAAATTTATAATGTACTTGTATAAATGTGTATGTATTTTTTAAAATGTGTAATATGTTGTAAAATTTCGTTATATTTTGTAATATAGCTATTTATAATTCCTGTAAAATGTAGTATGTTGTAACATGGTTAGATCAAATCTGTCTATATAGTCTCTCGTTACCACTCGTGGCTTCTATGTATTTGATGATATGTGTTATGTGTAAAGGTCAGGTTAATATACAGAGCTGACATTTCACCATGTTCAGCTCGTAACTAATCTCTACCTGTGCAATGCCACACGATGTTGTGGGATTCAGCAACAGGCTTGGTTTTTACCACATTACGAGTATTACTGTTTCAAGGTTTACAGGAATTAAAGATAACACATGCCCATATATGGAAATGGAAATGACCATTCGTCGAATGCAAGTACAGTTGACTGGCGTGTAAATTCTCAGAAACAAATTGGCTGGTTATATATAAAGTGTCCGTTGGGCATTCTCAGACAGACACGCAACAGAGACGCTTGGACGAACACTTGGCGCTATACCTGCACAACATACGACAGTATCTAACTCTGGAACAGACGGAACACTTCTGCAAACAGGTACACTATGACCTAATTACCGATCTGTTTCTTTTCCAGGTTATTCAATCAACAGCACAGCAAATATACGTGTACCGTTTTGTGGTTGCTATGCCTGGCGCTCGGCACTCCGGGAATGTTTACCGACCTGGGATGACTGGCCGGCTGGGACTCAACTTCATGTGTCCAGGTTGGGTAGCCATGTTAAGCTGGGTAGCCGGGCTCACACAGTTTCATCGGCGTCAGGCCGGACTAGTTGCCACACATCCTCAACACAAGCCACCTTCCGTGTCCCTTAATTTACAAGCTTTAAGGTCTAAAGATGTTTGGGAGCTGAACGTGTTAAGTGTTAAGTGTTGGATAGACAAGTTTTCCACATTGATACTTATTGAAGGTAATTGTAAAAGTGGCGCTGTCCATATGCTTCTGGGGCGCTTAGAGGGTTTACTATTGTATGGGAAGCTGGGTAAGTTAGGGACAAAGGTAAATGTCTGTCGTAATATTCACACCAGCGTTCATTGTGAGGCTTAGTGTCAGGTGTGACAGAAATACTATCACTCCTACAGCAACAACACAACACTTCACACGTAGGCGTTGAGACTCTTGCTAACAACATCTTCATTAATAGTTCTTCATGCTACCGCCTATGATGTGGAGACAGCTCCATCTAGTCCCTTTAGCCTGCACGTTTGGTATATGTGTACAGTTTAATGATAATATAGTAGGCTACTACGTTCGCTGTGACTGACTGCCTGAGTTTAGTTTTACGCAGCTTTTAGCAATATTCCAGCAATATCACGGCGGGGGACACCAGAAATGGGCTTAACACACGTTCGCTGTGGGTCCTGGTGATTTAATCGTTATGCATGTTATGTTATGCATGCACAAACACGTACACACACTCGCACAACATACACGCACACACACACTAACACACTCGCACTAACACATATATGCATACACATGCTATATTTAGTACACTCAAGACACTGGCTATAATTGTTTACAAACTGGAAATGTTGGGAAAATGAGGTCGAATACTAAACAGAATGGAAAATAACTTCTCTTTTTTTGTTTCTCGTGAATTGTTTAAAAAATTAAAAACTTTAAAACAACTGTGATGACCAGTTCTTGCCACGTTTGTGTCTGGAAACCATAGCGACCACAAGTAGGAGTCCCCACGACTCTGACACACCAATGAGTTTCCTTGTAGCTAAGTAACGATACATATTTTTACAGCAAAATGTCTGACAGAAGTGGCAGCAAAGGGTACTCCGGAACTGGAACAAAAGCTGACCTTGGCAACCACTCCAACCAGATGAACCCAAATAACCCCCAGTATGGTGGGGGGTCCAGCAGTTACCCTGGGGCAGGTACAAGATCGGACCTCAACAACCACTCCAATCAGCTCAACCCAAACCACTCCCAGTATGGTGGGGGCACGCCTGGAGGCAAGAAGTGATGACGTGTCAACTGATGGTTGGCTTGCACAGACACTACAGACACATCACGTGACATTGTGTCAGTAAGGCTACTACTGTGCCATGGTTGTGAAGTCATATACTGACCAGATAAAATACATAATAATAATAATTCCATTTGATGTATAGTAAAGATATATAGTATGAAATAAATATGTTATAACTGCAAACAGTGCTGTGTTATTGTTGATATGTCGCACAGAGGTGGCAAAACTGAGACCTCGTTAAACCGGGCACCCGTGTTACTAGAAAGCCTTCCTTTCGAGGAGGCTTGTTAAGACATGTAATATACCGCCTTGTCAAAGACTGGTTATTCCAGAACATTGTATATCAGAGCGATTCCAGAGCCATTGGGATTAAGGAGGTTTCCCTGTGTTCGTAGATGCAACCTGGCACAAGACCCTCATCAGTGAGGTATAAGGAAACTATACCACTGTTAGCTATTCTTGAGGACCTCGGTCGTGCTGGAACACAGGCGCCTCTTATGACGAGATATTTACCAAAATATATATTTCCATTGAAACTGTATTTATGTAAAGCTTACTTATAATCTTGACACATTATTAATGTTATACAGTTCAACTATCAGCTAAATAGCATAGATAAAACCATTTCCACAGCCAGAGGAAATCCTTGCTTAAAGCAAAGTCCTCTTTACGATCGTCCTGTTTGAGGAGTGTTGAATAACGACACCAGGTGGAGCATGCCCTGCTCCATCATTTGAACCCTCCACGTGGACAGACAAGTCAGTCATTCACCTAGGAAAACACAGGGACACATCACACAAATTATGAAAGGGAATTTCACCCTGACATCACTTTTCTCACTGATGAGTTCAATTTAGAAAAGTCCTCAAAAAACATGGCATGTCTTCCATAAACCTTTTTAATAAGCTTGTATTTGACCTACAACTTTCGTGAATCTCGTGCATCAGTGTAGCTAAGAACACCGTTATCAGGCAGGATTATGTCATTGTATCTACAAGTTCGTTTCAGCCTATGTATGGCTTAGTTGTAGAATCCAGAAGTGAATCAGATAACCTCCTTGTCACGTGCAAAGCTTCAGTTTTATTTTGTGAACAATTTTGATGTCGCATGGCCTACATGTGAGTTGATGACAGTACCTGGATTGAAATTTCGATTGAATGTAAATTTCCTTCGAAGATATAAAACAGACAAATCACGTGACATTGTGTCAGTAAGACTACTACTGTGCCATGGTTGTTTAATATTTACCAGATAAAATACGTCAGATGTATAGAATGAAATATATATGTTTTAACTACAAACAGCGCTGTGTTATTGTTGATACGTCTGAGCCATTTCAGAGCCGTTTGATGATTATGGGACGATTTCAGGTCATCGATGTACCTGAAGCTTATGTTAAATGTCTTGGCCAAATTTTGGATTTGCCAATCATAGCATTAATTCGTATTCACAAAGAAACAGGACAGTAGGAGGGGGAGCACAGTTGGTGTTCATTAAGATGGCTTCTTCCAGCCTTTATATCTTACCGGAACTTTTACAGATAGTGTTTTTTCACTTAACTTCAGATTTGGACAAATTATACTGAACGTGTGAAGAATGTCAACTACATGTATATACTGTACTGTTCACTATGATCATTATCCACCTGATGAAGGGACACGAACTAGCCCAGAAACGTTGTGGAAAAATAAATCAAGAAGTTGTTATCCATAAGATTTGCCTTGTAATACATCAAAGGTCATTCATAAATTATTTCGCTTACCTCGAGCGAGGCAAAAATATCCACGCATCATGGTTTAGTCATTTTAATAATGAATGAGTCTTTTTATGTGGCATGTTGAACCTGTTAGCTGGATAATATTGAATAAGGTATGTAGACACATATTTGTGGCGGATGTCTGCGTTTCTGAGTCTTTTACATGTAAACAATTAACTACTTGGCGTACTTGCAACCCATGTTACACCTCACATTCTTAGCTGCCGACAGTTGACACCTTGTGAGTTTTCAGTGTAAGTTTTGTCCACAATCTCAAACAACAATCTCCTTAATAATATACTAACAAACACATTCAATTAATTCTTCATTTATTAGTCATGTGATCAAAGCGGGTCCGGGTAATGTGATGGGTACCCAGGTCCAACTCTTTACCCACCCGTCCCGGGTATCCTGGTTACCCGTCCCAGCCCTAACTGGTAATATCTTCCACGTCATCATACAAAATGAAACGACGTATTTTCGGTGTGCTTTTCGATATACTTGTTAGCCAGTCGCCAACACACCTTAGTAACATTTGGACTATTTATTATTATTATTTTCTATGTTTAATTCATAAGCTCTTTTGGCTTTTCTAACTTACTTTATTACTTTATTCATGCATTGTCTGAATTTGTAACCACCTGCGAGTCTATGTCCATAGCAAGTTTAGGAATACGATTTATCATTATTTAGCCACATGGCATCTTTTTTACTGAGGGCGACAACCCTATTCGGTATATTTATATCGATAGTGTCTTTACTTTACAAGTAAAATCTTCTGTGATAGTATTAATATCAGTTGAAAATAGACTATCAGAGTCTATGGCATCAATATCGTGACCTATACCATCCAGTACTGCCACACAGTAGTTATATGGTTTTCTCTTAATGTGTGATTTTGTTGCATCATTTCTTTTATAATAACAAACTATTGGGGAGTGATCACACCACAGCTGTCAGTGTACCTTTCCCAAGCAATCCATGTAAACGAAGTAAGAAACAGTTTTACAATGCAGTGACATAGATCAGTAAAGGTTGACTTGGGTTAAACGTTAAACCATGCACTGACATAGATCAGTAAAGGTTGACTTGGGTTAAACGTTAAACCATGCACTGACATAGATCAGTAAAGGTTGACTTGGGTTAAACGTTAAACCATGCACTGACATAGATCAGTAAAGGTTGACTTGGGTTAAACGTTAAACCATGCACTGACATAGATCAGTAAAGGTTGACTTGGGTTAAACGTTAAACCATGCACTGACATAGATCAGTAAAGGTTGACTTGGGTTAAACGTTAAACCATGCACTGACATTGATCAGCACAAGACTTTGGCGACGTAGATGTATTCATGGCAGTACATGTGTATTGGTAGTACATGTCTTGGTAGTGGTACATGTCTTGGTAGAAGTACATGTCTTGGTAGTACATGTCTTGGTAGTACATGTCTTGGTAGTACATGTCTTGGTAGTACATGTCTTGGTAGTACATGTCTTGGTAGTACACGTCTTGGTAGTACACGTCTTGGTAGTACATGTCTTGGTAGTACACGCCTTGGTAGTACACGTCTTGGTAGTACATGTCTTGGTAGTACATGTCTTGGTAGTACATGCCTTGATAGTACACGTCTTCGTAGTACATGTCTTGGTAGTACATGTCTTGGTAGTAGATGTCTTGGTAGTACACGTCTTGGTAGTACACGTCTTGGCAGTAGATAAGTCTTGATAGTACATGTCTTGATAGTACATGTCTTGGTAGTACACGTCTTGGTAGTACACGTCTTGGTAGTACACGTCTTGGTAGTACACGTCTTGGTAGTACATGTCTTGGTAGTACATGTCTTGGTAGTACACGTCTTGGTAGTACATGTCTTGGTAGTACATGTCTTGGTAGTACATGTCTTGGTAGTACACGTCTTGGTAGTACATGTCTTGGTAGTACACGTCTTGGTAGTACACGTCTTGGTAGTACATGTCTTGGTAGTACATGTCTTGGTAGTACATGTCTTGGTAGTACACGTCTTGGTAGTACATGTCTTGGTAGTACATGTCTTGGTAGTACACGTCTTGGTAGTACACGTCTTGGTACACACGTCTTGGTAGTACACGTCTTGGTAGGTACATCTTGTCTTGGTAGTACACGTCTTGGTAGTACATGTCTTGGTAGTACATGTCTTGGTAGTAGTACACGTCTTGGTAGTACACGTCTTGGTAGTACATGTCTTGGTAGTACATGTACACGTCTTGGTAGTACACATGTCTTGGTAGTACATGTCTTGGTAGTACATGTCTTGGTAGTACATGTCTTGGTAGTACATGTCTTGGTAGTACATGTCTTGGTAGTACATGTCTTGGTAGTACATGTCTTGGTAGTACATGTCTTGGTAGTACATGTCTTGGTAGTACATGTCTTGGTAGTACACGTCTTGGTAGTACATGTCTTGGTAGTACATGTCTTGGTAGTACATGTCTTGGTGGTACATGTCTTGGTAGTACATGTCTTGGTAGTACATGTCTTGGTAGTACATGTCTTGGTAGTACATGTCTTGGTAGTACATGTCTTGGTAGTACATGTCTTGGTAGTACATGTCTTGGTACATACATGTCTTGGTAGTACATGTCTTGGTAGTACATGTCTTGGTAGTACATGTCTTGTCTCTGTACATGTCTTGGTAGTACATGTCTTGGTAGTACATGTCTTGGTAGTACATGTCTTGGTAGTACGTGTCTTGGTAGTACATGTCTTGGTAGTCTACATGTCTTGGTAGTACATGTCTTGGTAGTACATGTCTTGGTAGTAGTACATGTCTTGGTAGTACACGTCTTGGTAGTACATGTCTGGTAGTACATGTCTTACATGTAGTACATGTCTTGGTAGTACATGGTAGTCTGTCTTGTAGTACATGTCTTGGTAGTACATGTCTTGGTGTCTTGGTAGTACATGTCTTGGTAGTACATGTCTTGGTAGTACATGTCTTGGTAGTACATGTCTTGGTAGTACATGTCTTGGTAGTACATGTCTTGGTAGTACATGTCTTGGTAGTACATGTCTTGGTAGTAGTACATGTCTTGGTAGTACATGTCTTGGTAGTACATGTCTTGGTAGTACATGTCTTGGTAGTACATGTCTTGGTAGTACACGTCTAGTACATGTCTTGGTAGTACATGTCTTGGTAGTACACGTCTTGGTAGTACACGTCTTGGTAGTACATGTCTTGGTAGTACACGTCTTGGTGTCTTGGTAGTACATGTCTTGGTAGTACATGTCTTGGTAGTACATGTCTTGGTAGTACATGTCTTGGTAGTACACATGTCTTGGTAGTACATGTCTTGGTAGTAGTACATGTCTTGGTAGTACATGTCTTGGTAGTACATGTCTTGGTAGTACATGTCTTGGTAGTACACGTCTTGGTAGTACAGTCTTGGTACATGTCTTGGTAGTACACGTCTTGGTAGTACATGTCTTGGTAGTACATGTCTTGGTAGTACACGTCTTGGTAGTACACATACATGTCTTGGTAGTACACGTCTTGGTAGTACACGTCTTGGTAGTACACGTCTTGGTAGTACACGTCTTGGTAGTACACGTCTTGGTAGTACACGTCTTGGTAGTACACGTCTTGGTAGTACACGTCTTGGTAGTACATGTCTTGGTAGTACACGTCTTGGTAGTACATGTCTTGGTAGTACATGTCTTGGTAGTACATGTCTTGGTAGTACATGTCTTGGTAGTACACGTCTCTGGTAGTACACGTCTTGGTACACATGTCTTGGTAGTACACGTCTTGGTAGTACACGTCTTGGTAGTACATGTCTTCGTAGTACACGTCTTGGTAGTACATGTCTTGGTAGTACACGTAGTACACGTCTTGGTAGTACACGTCTTGGTAGTACATGTCTTGGTAGTACACGTCTTGGTAGTACACGTCTTGGTAGTACATGTCTTGGTAGTACACGTCTTGGTAGTACATACATGTCTTGGTAGTACACGTCTTGGTAAGTACACGTCTTGGTAGTACACGTCTTGGTAGTACACACGTCTTGGTAGTACATGTCTTGGTAGTACATGTCTTGGTAGTACATGTCTTGGTAGTACATGTCTTGGTAGTACATGTCTTGGTAGTACACGTCTTGGTAAGTACATGTACACGTCTTGGTAGTACATGTCTTGGTAGTACATGTCTTGGTAGTACACGTCTTGGTAGTACACGTCTTGGTAGTACATCTTGTCATGTCTTGGTAGTACACGTCTTGGTAGTACACGTCTTGGTAGTACATGTCTTGGTAGTACATGTCTTGGTAGTACATGTCTTGGTAGTACATGTCTTGGTAGTACATGTCTTGGTAGTACATGTCTTGGTAGTACATGTCTTGGTGGTACATGTCTTGGTAGTACATGTCTTGGTAGTACATGTCTTGGTAGTACATGTCTTGGTAGTACATGTCTTGGTAGTACACGTCTTGGTAGTAGTACACATGTCTTGGTAGTACATGTCTTGGTAGTACACGTCTTGGTAGTACACGTCTTGGTAGTACATGTCTTCGTAGTACACGTCTTGTTAGTACATGTCTTGGTAGTACACGTCTTGGTAGTACACGTCTTGGTAGTACATGTCTTGGTAGTACACGTCTTGGTAGTACACGTCTTGGTAGTACATGTCTTGGTAGTACATGTCTTGTAAGTACATGTCTTGGAAGTACATGTCTTGGTAGTAGTACATGTCTTGGTAGTACACGTCTTGGTAGTACATGTCTTGGTAGTACACGTCTTGGTAGTACACGTCTTGGTAGTACATGTCTTGGTAGTACACGTCTTGGTAGTACACGTCTTGGTAGTACATGTCTTCGTAGTACACGTCTTGTTAGTACATGTCTTGGTAGTACACGTCTTGGTAGTACACGTCTTGGTAGTACATGTCTTGGTAGTACACGTCTTGGTAGTACACGTCTTGGTAGTACATGTCTTGGTAGTGCATGTCACGGTAGTACATGTCTTGGTAGTACACGTCTTGGTAGTACATGTCTTTACAGCGATGTTTCAAAAGATTTAGAAACAATTCACAGTTTCCAACATGCTGATATATCAATACATATGCAAAACCATGTTGAAATAACATTGATCGTACTGCCGAAGCCCAGTTAACATCTCCATTATCGTCTAAACGTTTCAACATACGAGCGACGTGCATTTTTCTCTTTCTGCTATCTTGCCATCCTTTTTAAAAGCTATAACGTTTGTCTTATTTGTATTAATTGACAATCTCCATTCGGTACAATACTGTTCTAAGATATCAATCTTTCTCTGTAGGTATGAATTTTATTAAAAGCCTTCCATCTGAAGAGAAACCTGTTTGACTGCTATATAGTCATGCATTGATGCATTATGTTTATGTATATGTATTGTATGCGCACAAACAAACAAACAAACAAACATGTATTATTTTGTACTCTGGGCCATGAGGCCATTATGCGAAATAAATCTCTCACACACAATACGGGGATCTGTCTGCAAGCGGTATCACTGAATGTGATCAACAACATCTGCACAATGCAGGGTGTGACTAGCGCTTCCCGGCAATAGATCGGGTTTTCCAGGAACGTGGCTTCCTTTCTATTTGAATATGATATGGTAATTTATCTCACTCAACCAATAGGCAGACTAGGTCACATGACTGGCTTATGATATTTAAAGTGGTCGCGAAAAGCCCTCAGTTAAATCGCTAAATCTCCCTCCAAATCATCAACAATCAGCGAATTTTGTCACCGGATCTTGTAGAAAGTACCGTACGTTTGAACCCTGCAAGCAGGTGAGTTTTTATGGTGCTTTATGCTGCGTAGTAAATGCACATGTGTTGTGCTTAGGTATATTTGTCATTAGTACATTTTTCATTGTATAAAGGAGGAAGAAAAATGTCTTATCTACCTTAAAAGGTTTTATCATCGGGAGTGTCACCCCTTGTGTATTTTATGTAATGAGTGAAGCGAATCCCGGATGGGACTCAACCCCCAAAAGTACTAGAATTTGTACTTTACTAAGGAAGTGTAATCCCAAATATAACATATGTTGCATGAGTGAAGCGGTAGAATTTTCTTAAATTTCTATTTCTTCACCTAATTCGTTCACATTTGAACTATATGTTAATCATGTTAACAATATACTATTGCAAAAGTCTAGATTTTTAAAATTCATTGTCCAAACAGTGATTCGAACCCTATGGTCTTACCACTTAACTACCTTACCACATGTCTGGGCCATATCCAGAGCTTCCAACCCCAAGGGAGAGAAGAGTTTTAGATACCGGGATCCAAGGGCCGTTCAGGTACAGGGTGGAAACAAAGGGTGTGAAGTTGAAGTCGATGCATAATTGCAAATTCCCTTTTCAAAAAAGTCACTGAAAATGGTGTATTCAGACCTATTTATGTGATTTTATGTGGTCCAAATGTACATTTTTCATGTGAACTCAGTTTTGCGTGAGATGTATAAGTTTTGTTGTGGCAGCGTGAGATGAATAATTAATGTGTGAGTCTCAAGCCATATACGCGATAGTTGGCAGGGAAACATACCGGGCTTACTCAGTGTGAGGTCGTCGTGTGCGTCCTCCATAATCCTAGTATACTGAAATTACATTATGACGTAATATGATGGAGTGTGTATCGCTTTATGCCGCTTTTAACAATACTTCAGCAATATCAAGGGGGGGAAGCGGGGAAGCCACCACAAATGGGCTTCACACATTGTACCCATGTGGGGAATCGAATCCGGGTCTTCAGTGTGAAGAGTGAACGCTGTAACCACTATGCTACCTCACCGCCTCGTGACTTGAAATGAAACCCCTTAATGCAGAACAAACAACATCCACACACACACACGTCATTGAGTGAGTGAGTTTAGTTTTACGCCGCCCTCAGCTTTATGGCGGCGGTCTGTTAATAATCGAGTCTGGACCAGACAATCCGGTGATCATCAGCATGAGCATCGATCTGCGCAATTGGGAACCGATGACACGTGTCAACCAAGTCAGTGAGCCCGAATAGTCAGTGACCTTGCCAGCGGGGTTGTGATGAATAACGAATGCACCCATTAATCATTATATGATTATGTTTTAGAAGTATAACTCTGTAAATTAGTTTCAGTTGTTACAGTTTTGTTGATATGGTAATCTCACTCAATACTTGATGATTCCGAAGTTTCATTGTGTACTTGCTCAGAAAAACCATCCTGCAACTAGACGCCGGGATGTATTAAAGAGAGTTTCGTTCAAGACACATACTAGTATGTGGCAGAAAATAATATTTGAAAATCTGACAAATTATATAACGTTTTTACATATTCTCCTAATCAGTTCACTTCCATATTTGGTTGCTGGCATCACCAGATATAAACTGTCAACGACAGGGACAATAGGCCAAGGTTATCTGCCCTACATATGTCATTCCACAATTTGCATAAAAATGCAATAAGAATTAAATTTGTAATTTCTGTAGATAATAGATCTCAAACAAAAAGGCTTTGTTTGGCTGCTGTTTTTGTCAAGCTATATGGGCTGTAATGTGCTACTGAATTTGTTTTTCAACTATACGTTTCATCTTGCAACTGGTTTTGTTTGTCTATGGGTTGTCTTGTACTGCTAGTTTTGCCTCTCTGTAGGTTGCATTGTGCTTCTAGTTTCGTTCGCCTATCGGTTATATTTTGCTGCTAGTTTTGCTTGTCTATGAGTTATATTGTGTTACTTGCTTCGTTTGTCTATGGGTTGTATTCTGCAGTTAGTCTTGCTTGTCTGTGAGTTGTATATTGCTGCTAGTTTTGTACTTCCTGTTGGTGACTGTTGGCTTTAACCGTTTATCATACACCTATGAAAAATATGGACCATTTTGCACATGCATTACTGGCTCTCGGCATATGTGCATACTGACCACCCAGGCTGAAAATGCATATCAGCCATATCAGCACTATGGCCGAAAATCCATATCAGCCATTTTGCCCGGCTACTAAACGGGTACGGAATGAATACACGCAAGCGCTCGAAACTTCAATAGACGGAGCCTAGTTTATTTCAGAGTTACATCCCTTGCGTGGTCTGGAAATGGTGGAAGTATGAGTTCTAATCTTGGCAACGATGTTTTGGCTGCTCTTGACTCTTTTTTGACCGTTAGACTATTTACAGATGTGGTATATGATGAAAAGGTTATGATATGACCTTTCCTATCCTATCGCCAGTCATATCAGCCCGAGACTACCATATCAACCCGAGGGCTGATTGAGTTTACTATTGCTTAACAGTTTATGGCCTACATCTGAGTATTGCTTAACAGTTTATGGCCTACATTTGTGTTCTGCTTAACAGTGTAATGCCTACATTTGTGTTCTGCTTAACAGTGTAAGGTCTACATCTGAGTATTGCTTAACAGTGTAAGGTCTACTTTTGAGTATTGCTTAACAGTGTAAGGCCTACTTTTGAGTATTGCTTAACAGTGTTAGGTCTACATCTGAGTATTTCTTAACAGTGTGAGGTCTACATCTGAGTATTGCTTAACAGTGTAAGGCCTATTTTTGAGTATTGCTTAAAAGTGTAATGCCTACATTTGAGTATTGCTTAACAGTGTAATGCCTACATTTGTGTTCTGCTTAACAGTGTAATGCCTACATCTGAGTATGGCTTAACAGTGTTAGGTCTACTTTTGAGTATTGCTTAACAGTGTAAGGCCTACTTTTGAGTATTGCTTAAAAGTGTAATGCCTACATTTGAGTATTGCTTAACAGTGTAATGCCTACATTTGAGTATTGCTTAAAAGTGTAATGCCTACATTTGAGTATTGCTTAACAGTGTAATGCCTACATTTGAGTATTGGTTAACAGTGTAATGCCTACATTTGTGTTCTGCTTAACAGTGTAATGCCTACATCTGAGTATTGCTTAACAGTGTTAGGTCTACATTTGAGTATTGCTTAACAGTGTAAGGCCTACATTTGTGTTCTGCTTAACAGTGTAATGCCTACATCTGAGTATTGCTTAACAGTGTTAGGTCTACATTTGAGTATTGCTTAACAGTGTAAGGCCTACTTTTGAGTATTGCTTAAAAGTGTAATGCCTACATTTGAGTATTGCTTAAAAGTGTAATGCCTACATTTGAGTATTGCTTAAAAGTGTAATGCCTACATTTGAGTATTGCTTAACAGTGTAATGCCTACATTTGTGTTCTGCTTAACAGTGTAATGCCTACATCTGAGTATTGCTTAACAGTGTTAGGTCTACATTTGAGTATTGCTTAACAGTGTAATGCCTACATTTGTGTTCTGCTTAACAGTGTAATGCCTACATCTGAGTATTGCTTAAAAGTGTTAGATCTACATTTGAGTATTGCTTAACAGTGTAAGGCCTACTTTTGAGTATTGCTTAAAAGTGTAATGCCTACATTTGAGTATTGCTTAAAAGTGTAATGCCTACATTTGAGTATTGCTTAACAGTGTAATGCCTACATTTGAGTATTGGTTAACAGTGTAATGCCTACATTTGTGTTCTGCTTAACAGTGTAATGCCTACATCTGAGTATTGCTTAACAGTGTTAGGTCTACATTTGAGTATTGCTTAACAGTGTAAGGCCTACATTTGTGTTCTGCTTAACAGTGTAATGCCTACATCTGAGTATTGCTTAACAGTGTTAGATCTACATTTGAGTATTGCTTAACAGTGTAAGGCCTACTTTTGAGTATTGCTTAAAAGTGTAATGCCTACATTTGAGTATTGCTTAAAAGTGTAATGCCTACATTTGAGTATTGCTTAAAAGTGTAATGCCTACATTTGAGTATTGCTTAACAGTGTAATGCCTACATTTGTGTTCTGCTTAACAGTGTAATGCCTACATCTGAGTATTGCTTAACAGTGTTAGGTCTACATTTGAGTATTGCTTAACAGTGTAAGGTCTACTTTTGAGTATTGCTTAAAAGTGTAATGCCTACATTTGAGTATTGCTTAACAGTGTAATGCCTACATTTGTGTTCTGCTTAACAGTGTAATGCCTACATCTGAGTATTGCTTAACAGTGTTAGGTCTACATTTGAGTATTGCTTAACAGTGTAAGGCCTACTTTTGTGTGACACCTGGTGTTCCACATTCCAGGTTAACTGAAACATGGCGATTATCCTTTATAGGCGTAAAATTCACATTCGAGACGAGCTTTACATCACGTATTCATTTTTAAACATGCGTTACTGTAAAACGTTTACAGTTGTTAAATGTTTAATTTTTATAAGCTTCGTTACATTTTGCAGCAATATGTCGGACAGACCAGATCAAAAAGCCGCCGACAACCGCAGCAACCAGTGCAACCCAAACAATGAGAAATATGATGGTCACAAGAAGGGGTACCCCGGAACGGGCGACAAAGCGGACTTGGATAACCATGGCAAGCAGTTAAACCCAAACAATCCTGAATATGGAGGGGGCTCTGCTGGAGAAAAGAAGTGATGTTCTTGCTTGACTTATTCGCACAGAAAATGTAGACGTGTTTAATACACGCAGTGATTAGTAGGGTTGTCTTATTAAATTCAAGTAACGAAATACGTGTAATAAATACCATAAAATCTCCGTCAGTGTTGTGTTGATAATGGTTCCAGCTTGCCACACCATTACAAGATGGTACTTGTTGTTACCGTTCCTGGCATTCCGGGAAGACAATAGGAATTGGTCGGCAGGGAGACAAAGTTTTTTACCCCCTGTTACCGTTCCTGGCATTCCGGCAAGACAATAGGAATTGGTCGGCAGGGAGACAAAGTTTCTTACCCCCTGTTCCCGTTCCTGGCATTCCGGGAAGACAATAGGAATTGGTCGGCAGGGAGACAAAGTGTCTGCGTGTTACCGTTTCTGGCATTCCGGCAAGACAATAGGAATTGGTCGGCAGGGAGACAAAGTGTCTTCGTGGGATGTCCGTGTTACACATGCGACTTTGCAATCCCAGCGGACTTGGACAATGAACCAGACATACGTCCGGCCTAATAACAGAACTAAGCCATATGCAATACACTTGAACACCACCATCATACACCATCTCCTCGCCTCACCCCACACCGCCTCACCCCACACCGCCTCACAGCACCTCACTACCTCACCTAAACGTCACGCCATTTCCCGCTTTGACTCACCTCCAGTAATTTCGCATTGACTCATCCCATTTCATCTCACCTCACTTCATCTATATAGCCTCTGATTCTCATAGGTGAGGTGAGGTGAAATGGGGTTTAACGTCGTGCTTGAGAATATTTCGCTCATATGTCGACGTGCATGCGTGTGTATGTGCGTCTGATTGTACTAGCCCAGACCGAAGATGGTTTTATAGTGCTAGCCCACTGAGACACCATGCCGCAGTGAAGCATGAATACCGCACTCAGACACATTATACTGACTCCGAGCCGACTAGTCCTTGTTGTACCCATTAATGCCGAGCGCCAGGCGGGGACCAACAAGTACCAAATTTTAACGTCTTTTTGGTATGACGCGATCGGGGATCGAACCCGCGACCTTCCGCTTTCCGGGTGGACGCTCTAACCACTACACCACGGAGGCGGTCGATTCTCATAGGGAAGATATCTGTTTCTGAATGTGTAAGTATACTCGGCACATAAAGAAACTGTGCATACAAAAATTTAAAATCTAAATTTATCAAACCTGTGTAGACACATAAGGATTTAAACTCAGAGATTAGTGACATGTATCCAACATGAATGCACGTGCCACGTTCCGTGACGTCAATGGGTTCGTCCTTGAGACGTGCAATACGTTGTTGCACGTGCATTCCGGGAAAGAGAAACAGAGCAAATGAATGCCACACAATACTGTTGCTTTGGAAAGCTCAACCCCTGCCCTTGCGATCGTTCAAAACATTAAACGGCTATTGAAACGCATAGCATGCCAAGGCTCACGTCTGCACAACGTCATGAGGCCATTGGGATGGTCCGTGGGGGAATGTCTCAACGACAAGTGGCTGCACATTTCCACTGCCACCGGAACACCGTTTCTGCACTGGTGAGACGCTACCAGAACACAAATGACGTCATCGATCGGCCACGTTCTGGACGTCCACGTGTAACAACGCCAAGACAGGACATATGGATAAGGGTGACCCATCTTCGCCACAGGTTTCAGACTTCAGTGATGACTGCCCAGGCCATCCCAGGACTTCGCCATATCCACCCCAACACAGTTCGACAACGTTTACGTCATCACGGGATCCCGCCATACGGCCTATCCTGACACAACGTCATCGACAAGCTCGCCGAATGTGGTGCCGAAATCATGTCCGCAGACCTTGTTTTGGTGGAGAAATGTTGTTTTTACACATGAGTCCAGGTTTAACATTTCCCATAGTGATGGACGTCAACGTGCCTATAGACGCGTGGGAGAACGTTATGCACAGGCCTGTGTCTTGGAGAGGAATCGCTTTGGTCGTGGTTCCGTGATGAGTTGGGGTGGAATGACAGCACTCCAAAGAACTTCTTTGGTGATTGTTCAGGACAACTTAACTGGTGTGGGCTACAGGGATAAGATTCTTCGACCTGTGGCAATTCCTTTTCTGCAACGTCATGGCCCTGGGTCAACATTCCAACAGGACAATGCCCGCCCTCATACGGCAAGGGTTGCTATGGATTTCTTGCAACACCACAACGTTGACTTACTGCCTTGGCCTGCAAATGCACCGGATCTCTCCCCGATAGAGCATGTTGGGACGAGATGGATCGACGTCTACGCCGTCTTCCTCATCCGTCAGATAACGTCCTTGAGCTTGCAACAGAACTTGAGAGAATCTGGCGTGACATCCCACAAGCCTTCCTTGCACGTTTGATAGGCTTTATGCGTCGTCGATGCACTGCTGTTCTCAATGCCGATGGGGACATACCCGTTATTGAGCTTGTGACATGGTCGTTTGACCCCTGTCCCGCTTTTGGACTCGTGACGTCATTGTGATTGACTTTTCAATTGAAATTCTCCCGACTTGTTATGGTCTCATTATCCCTCCATTAAAGTTTATGTGTACCTTTGACATTGTTATCGTCCTTATCAACTGGGATAATATTTTGACAATGCACAGTTTCTTTATGTGGCTAGTGTACATTGTTTCGGATATCTATATGAAGGCATTGGAACAAGTCTTATCGAAACATTTTACAGTTTGTAAAATGTTTAACATAAAGTGGATATCTACCAGATTCGCCATGTATATAAACGTTTGGAAATGATTTACCAACATTTAAATCAAATCTATAAAATGATTGGTGTACAATTTCAATTTCTTGCAATCCTTTATAACCCCACAATCCACTGCCATACATCATTACAAGTACATTTTTTTAAATCGAATATCTTATTATTTATTTTGTTGACAGTTACATAGACAGATTCTTTAATACAAATGCATAAAATCGGTGATTTACAATGTGATTAGGTTATCTTACAAAACATCCACTTGCACAGTTTGATCATTGGGTGTAGAGATATTTACCAAAAAAACCGGGTCCACATGCATTTCATGCCAAACTATACTTGCAGTACTAGTGAACCATGTAAAAAGTAGCTACTAGTTCTACTGATGTTACGGCTACTACAAGTAACACAACTACTCATTAAACTTAGTAAATCTTAGAAATTGGATATGAATATGTTAAAATAATCTTAATTGAAATAATAGCGTGGTCAGACTGTTCGTGTCTGTTGATTATTTGCATTTACATGTGACACTGCCTGTCAACCCGACCTGCGGGTTGCCATGTATACAACATGGTAATCGTGGTTATAATGATGCTCCTGTTGATGTACCATCAAAAGGACCGCAGGCAGATCATATCTTTATTTTCGCTTCCGCGAGTTCAAGGACAAATTGCAACTAGAGTTCCAGGAACTGCGCGGCGGGAGGCGACACAAAGCACACACAAGCTGCCTTAATCGACTTGTATTTCCACGAAGACTGCCACATATATGGTGAAGTTCGCCTGCTCTAGCTGGTAGTGGGAGTACAGATAACAACAGACTAAGGAACCGTTCATAGGTTATGGCTTGGGGATGATGTTGATTCTAAAAAGAGAGAGAGAGAGAAGGGGGAGGGGGAGGTGTATTGATAAATTTTGTACATTAAAATATTTTACAATTCAGATTCAGAACTCTGGACTTGCTTCATTTAAGGCTTTAACATTGCAGGGAGGGCTCGGCTGTAGGGAAAATAATATGGATCAGGAACTAGTTCAGACTACAAGTGCTAGCTAAATTTAATTATGCCCATATCTGCGAGGCAATGCGGCCATCTTCTGTTCCAGGTAACTGTGTTTGAGAATGTAATGTTCTCTTTAGCAAGCCATGTTGTATGTACGTTATTATCTGCCGACACAACATCGTTTAGTTATTACGTTGGTTTTTGCAGATTCCAAATTGAAGATAGTGTCAGTTGTGGTAGTGTCAGTAGTGTAAGTAGTGGTAGTGCATGGTAATGTCAGTAGAGGTAGTGTCAGTAGTAGTAGTGTCAGAGGCGGTAATGTCAGTAGTGGAAGTATCAATCGGGGTAGTGTCAGTTGTTGTAGTGTCAGTAGTGGTGGTAATATCAGTGGTGGTAATGTCAGCGGTGGTGGTGTCAGTAGTGGTAGTGTCAGTAGTGGTAGTGTTAGTAATGGTAGTGTCAGTAGTGCTAATGTCAGTGGTAAGGTCAGTATTTGTAGTGTCAGTGGTAGTGTCAGTAGTGGTAGTGTCAGTAATGGTAGTGTCAATAGTGGCAGTGTCAGTGGTAGTAGTTTCAGTGGTGGTAGTGTCAATAGTGGTAGCGTCAGTAGTAGTAGTGTCAGTGGTGGTAGTGGAAGTATCAATCGGGGTAGTGTCAGTGGTTGTAGTGTCAGTAGTGGTAGTGACATTGGTTGTAGTGTCAGTGCTTGTAGTGTCAGTAGTGTTGGGAATATCAGTGGTGATAATGTCAGCGGTGGGGGTGTCAGTAGTGGTAGTGTCACTAGTGGTAGTGTCAGTAATGGTAGTGTCAATAGTAGTAGTGACAGAGGTGGTAATATCAGTAATGGTAGTGTCAGTTGTGGTAGTATCAGTAGTGGTATGTCAGTGGTAATTTCAGTATTGGTAGTGTAAGTGGTAGCGTCAGTGTCAGTGGTAGTGTCAGCATTTGTAGTGTCAGTGGTAGTGTCAGTGGTAGTGTCAGTAATGGTAGTGTCAGTGGTAGTGTTAGTGGTGGTAGTGTCAGTGGTAGTGTCAGTATTGGTAGTGTCAGTGGTGCTAATATCAGTGGTGGTAATGTCTGCGGTGGTGGTGTCAGAAGTGGGAGTGTCAGTAGTGGTAGTGTTAGTAATGATAGTGTCAGTAGTGCTAATGTCAGTGGTAAGGTCAGTATTTGTAGTGTCAGTGGTAGTGTCAGTAGTGGTAGTGTCAGTAATGGTAGTGTCAATAGTAGTAGTGACAGAGGTGGTAATATCAGTAGTGGTAGTGTCAGTAGTGGTACTGTAAGTGGTAATACCAGTAGTGGTAGTGTCAGTAATGGTAGTGTCAGTAGGGGTAGTGTCAGTGGTAGTGTCAGTATTGGTAGTGTCAGTGGCAGTGTCAGTTGTGGTAGTGTCAGTGGTGGTAGTGTCAGTGGTGGTAGTGTCTTTATTAGTATTGTCAGTGGTAGTGTCAGTATTGGTAGTGTCAGTAATGGTAGTGTCAATAGTAGTAGTGTCAGTAGTGGTAGTGACAGTAGTGGTAGTGTCAGTGGTAGTGTCCGTAGTGGTAGTGTCAGTGGTAGTGTAAGTAGTGGTACTGTCAGAAATGGTAGTGTCAGTGGTAGTGTCAGTGGTGGTAGTGTCTTTATTAGTATTGTCAGTGGTAGTGTCAGTATTGGTAGTGTCTGTAGAGGTGTCAGTATTGGTAGTGTCAGTGGTTGTGTCAGTAATGGTAGTGTCAGTGGTAGTGTCAGAGGTAGTGTTAGTAGTGGTATTGTCAGTGGTGGTGTCAGTAGTGGTAGTGTCAGTAATGGTAGTGTCAGTGGTAGTGTCAGTTGTGGTAGTGTCAGTGGTGGTAGTGTCAGTAGTGGTCTTGTCAATAGTGGTAATGTCAGTGGTAGTGTCAGTAGTGGTAGTGTCAGTAGTGGTAGTGTCAATAGTAGTAGTGTCAGAGGTGGTAATATCAGTAGTGGTAGTGTCAGTAGTGGTAGTGTCAGTAGTGTGGTAGTGTCAGTGGTAGTGTGTCAGTAGTGGTAGTAATGTAGTGTCAGTAATCGTAGTGTCAGTGTTAGTAGTGAGTGTCAATAGTGTCAGTAGTGTGGTAATATCAGGTGGTGGTAGTGTCAGTAGTTGTAGTGTCAGTATTGAAGTGGTGTCAGTCAGTGGTAGTGGTAGTGTCGTGGTAGTGGTAGTGTCAGTGGAGGTCAGTCAGTAGTGTCAGTGGTGTGGTAGTGTCAGTAGTGGTAGTGTCAGTGGTAGTGTGGTCAGTAGTGGTAGTGTCAGTGGTAGGACAGTAGTATCAATATAGAGTAACAATTGGTGCAAGAATCAAATTATAGTATCAGTAATTTATGATGAAAATAAATATTAGTAGAAAATATCCGAAGTTGTAAGAGAAGTAGATGATAACAGGTAATATCAGTGGTAGTAGAAGTATCAGTAACAGTAGTATAATAGAGTAGGAAAGTATTAAACGTAGTAGAAAGTAGTCAGTGGTAGGAGTGTCAGTAATGGTGGTATCAGGAGTGGTGGAAGTATCGGTGGAATGGAAGTAGTATCAGTAGTAGAAAAGTCGGTCAGAACAACGTAGTGGAAAATCAGTAGTAGAAGAGGACCAGGAAAATGGTAGGAAAATGATGGACAGTTGTCATCAGTAGTGGAATGGAATGTCCAGAGAGTGGTGAAAGTAAAGAGGAATCCAGGAAAATGGTGAAAATGTAAAATGGTGGTGGTGGAAAAGTAATGGTGGAAGGAATGGAATGGAATGGAATGGTATTGAGAAAATCAGTAGTGGAATGGTATGGAATGGAAATGGTGGTGGAATGCAGAAAGTAATGGAGTGGAATGGTGGTGGTGTGGAATGGTAGTTTGTTAATGTAATGGAATCAAGAAATGGAATGGAAGGAATGGAATGGGAATGTCAGTGGTGGAATGTCAATGAGTGGTGGTCAACAGTGGGTGCAGTGTCAGTGGTGGTGTGTCGGTATGTCAGTAATGATAGTGTCAGTAGTGGTAGTGTCATTGGTGGTAGTGTAAGTAGTGGTAGTGTCAGTGGTAGTGTCAGTAATTGTTGTGTCTTTATTGGAAGTGTCGGTGGTAGTGTCAGTATTAATAGTGTCAGTAATGGTGTCAGTATTGGTAGTGTCAGTGGTAGTGTCAGTATTGGTTGTGTCAGTGGTAGTGTCAGTAGTGGTAGTGTCAGTGGTAATGTTAGTAATGGTAGTGTCGGTAGTGGTAGTGTCAGTGGTGGTAATATCAGTGGTGGTAATGTCAGTGGTAGTGTCAGTAGTGGTAGTGTCAGTGGTAGAAATGTCAGTGTTGGTAGTGTCAGTGGTAGCAGTGTCAGTAGTGGTAGTGGCAGTGGTGGTGTCAGTATTGGTAGTGTCAGTGGTAGTGTGAGTAGGGGTAATGTCAGTAATGGTAGTGTCAGTGGTTGTAATATCAGTGGTGGTAGTGTCAGTGGCGGTAGTAGTGGTAGTGTCAGTGGTAGTGTCAGTAGTGGTAGTTTCAGTCATGGTAGTGTTAGTGGTGGTAATGACAGTGACTGTAGTGTCAGTAGTGGTATTGTCAGTGGTTGTAGTGTCAGTGGTTCTAATGTCAGTGGTGGTAGTGTCAGTAGTGGTAGTGTCAGTAGTGGTAGTGTCAGTAATGGTAGTGTCAGTCATGGTAGTGTCAGTAATGGTAGTGTCAGTAGTGGTAGTGTCAGTGGTGGTAGTGTGAGTGATGGTAATATCAGTGGTAGTTGTGTCAGTAGTGGCAGTGACATTGGTGGTAGTGTCAGTTGTTGTAGTGTCAGTAGTGGCAGTGTCAGTAGTGGCAGTGTCAGTAGCGGCAGTGTCAGTAATGGCAGTGTCAGTAGTGGCAGTGTCATTAGTGGTAGTGTCAGCGGTGGTAATGTCAGTGGTGGTGGTATCAGTGGTTGTTTTGTCAGTAGTGGTAGTGTTAGTAGTGGTAGTGTCAGTGGTGATAGTGTCAGTGGTGGTAGTGCCAGTAGTAGTAGTGTCAGTGGTGGTAGTGTCAGTAGTGGTAGTGTCAGTAGTGTGTCATTAGTGGTAGTGTCAGTGGTGGGAGTGTCAGTGGTGGTGGTGTCAGTAATGGTAGTGTCAATAGAGGTGGTAGTGTCAGTGGTGGTAGTGTCAGTAGTGGTAGTGTCATTGGTGGTAGTGAGAGTAGTGGTAGTTTGAGTAGTGGTAGTGTCAGTAGTGGTAGTGTCGGTAGTTAAAGTGTTGGTAGTTGTAGTGGCATTCGTGGTTATGATGTTTCGGTTTATCGTTGACTGTCAAACTGAACTTGTAATCAATGTACATAACGGAAAAATACTGCGTTAGCTCTCAGTTCTGCGAGGTCAAGGACGACCTGCAATGGGGTTTCTTGGAACAGGTCAGCGCGAAGCTGTATGACGTCACCGATCAGTGTGGCGGGACTTGCTGCATGTTCACTTTACTTTATCTGCGAAGCTGATAAGACTCGGCTTTACTTGGGGACGGTCAATGATTACCTGGCAGTCTACACGTATTGTTGGGGCTTCATGTTAATAGTGTGTGTATTCACCAGCCTCTAAGATAATAATTAGTAGTTGTGTGTGTGTGTGTGTGTGTGTGTGTGTGTGTGTGTGTGTGTGTGTGTGTGTGTGTGTGTGTGTGTGTGTGTGTGTGTGTGTGTGTGTGTGTGTGTGCGCGCGCGTGTGTATCTGTTTGTGTGCGTGCGTGCGTGCGTGCATGCGTGTGTGCGTGTGTGTTGGCCCTTCAGGTGGCACCCATCATAACCATATGCAAAGTCTGGTCAATTACTCACCTGATACAAGTCGGGAATATGTGGTGCAAGTTAAAATAGGGAATAGCATCAGACATCATGTCCTCCTCGTATCTACCATAAAACAGTTTGAAGTCTTTACTGAGGCCTTGGATGTTATAACCCTGATCAAACATCTTCCGAGCTACGTTTGTAATGAACACCCTCATAGCAAATTAGCGGATATATGCAATTTGCTGTATAATCTTAGTCGAAATGCGTGTAACGAACTAAACTTTGTGGCCCTGTTAAGTTCCTATTACGGTGCATAAACAATGTCTTTGGAGATATGATGTGGCAATAAAAAGGATCACATTTTAGATCTTAGATCCCCTCCCTCTCTCTCTCTCTCTCTCTCTCTCTCTCTCTCTCTCTCTCTCTCTCTCTCTAACGCACACACACTGACACACGCGCAAACACGGTGCACATACACAATTGTCGATCAACGACAACACAACTCTCTCTGGATTCACATCCTGTTTATTACATATACTACTTTTTTATTACATCTACAAACATATCTTTTCACTTTTTAATATTTTGACTGGACAGCCATGCCACAGAATAATCACTACTGTTCGCCATGCCACGTGCTCCACACACGTGTTTACATTGGCTGTGCTAACCAGTCAGCGACTGCCACGTCATCACTTGCCACCAGACCCACCGTAGCCTGACTGGTGGCCCTGATACTCGGAGTTGTTGGGGTTGCACTGGTTGGCGTGGTTGTCGAGGTCGGCCTTGTCGCCGGTCCCGGAGTAACCCGAATCGTGGCCACTGTATTCCGAGTTGTTTGGGTTGCACTGATTGGCATGGTTGTCCAAGTCTTTTTGACCTCCACTGTCAGACATTGCTGTAAGATGAAACACATCCACTGTCAGTCTCAATACAATGATCATCTCTTGGATACATTACTTTATACACTGAATACATTATCTTGGATACATGACTTTATACACTGAATACATTATCTTGGATACATTACTTTATATACTGAATACATCATCTTGGATACATTACTTTATACACTGAATACATTATCTTGGATACATTACTTTATACACTGAATACATCATCTTGGATACATTACTTTATACACTGAATACATTATCTTGGATACATTACTTTATACACTGAATACATTATCTTGGATACATTACTTTATACACTGAAGACATCATCTTGGATACCATTGGTTAAGTTCCTCAGCACATTATGTTAGCTTTGGTCTTAGTCAACATTACACTGGATGATATTGGATGTATCACCCTACAGGAATCCTGTTTTGTATCGATATCACAAATCCTATTTAACGGTTTATAAAGCATGGGTATGTCAACAGAGATTAAACGTTGACTGTGTTTCAGTATCACAGATATCATATACTGGGAATAACAGTTCTACCATGTTCTGTTGACGAACCTAGTACGAACTGTGTACGCCGAAAAACGTTGTTTTTCAGTATAAAAAAACGAGTAATTACATCCGAGTAATCTTAATCCATGCGGTGAACAAGCACTCAAAACGAGAAAAACGTCGCGGCTAAAGAACTGCCCGATACAAACTCAGACAGTACATGCAATACACGTAAGAGACACGTAAGTGAAAATCCTTCACAACTGTCTTTTAAGATATTTACTATCATGATTTGAAAGGTCAATATTGCCGCCAATATTCACAAATATACTACTGTAGAAATCAAAAGGATATAAAGTTTATATGTATATCGAAACTTTTATCGATAATATATTAAACTATTTCAAACTTAATTACCATATCTCTGACCTGTGTTATGAATTTAGATTCCTTACTATGAAGTCGATAGCTGATTTGGGCATTCGTTCAAGCTTGAAAATTGTAATTACTGATAAGAACTCGTTTGTTAAACCTCTGTGAGGTATAAAACCAAATGCTACAGACGTCAATTTTCCAGCCCCATTTGTTTTGTCAGGATAGAAGATTCCACAATAACTCCTCAGAGGATATTAACAAGGTTCCACAATAACTCCTTAGAGGATATTTACAGTGTTATACACTAACCCCTTAGAGGATATAAACAAGGTTCCACAATAACTCCTTAGAGGATATAAACAAGGTTCCACAATAACTCCTTAGAGGATATTGTCAGTGTTATACACTAACTACTTAGAGGATATTAACAAGGTTCCACAATATCTCCTTAGAGGATATTTACAGTGTTATACACGAACTCCTTAGAGGATATAAACAAGGTTCCACAATAAATCCTTAGAGGATATAAACAAGGTTCCACAATAACTCCTTAGAGGATATTTACAGTGTTATACACTAACTCCTTAGAGGATATAAACAAGGTTCCACAATAACTCCTTAGAGGATATTTACAGTGTTGTACACTAACCCCTTAGAGGATATAAACAAGGTTCCACAATAACTCCTTAGAGGATATTTACACTGTTATACAATAACTCCTTAGAGGATATAAACAAGGTTCCACAATAACTCCTTAGAGGATATTAACAGTGTTATACACTAACTCCTTAGAGGATATAAACAAGGTTCCCGGTAAATTAATTGGAGGATATTTACAGTGTTATACACTAACTCCTTAGAGGATATTTACAGTGTTATACACTAACTCCTTAGAGGATATAAACAAAGTTATACACTAAATCTGTGAAACAATAATTTACACTCACACTAAGGTTGTTGTTCCGAACGTTTAATTGCCTCAGATTTGATAGCTTAATGCTGAGAGAGGTACTCACCTGTTTGCAGTATATACTTGAGTGTACGCCTTCAACAATCTGGAAAGGATGGACAGTGTATATGTATCTTGCATCATTCTTCCAATCTTTGTAATTTCCCCATACATGATGTTAGAGTAACGACCCTATGGTGTTATACACTAACTCCTTAGAGGATATAAACAAGGTTCCACAATAACTCCTTAGAGGATATAAACAAGGTTCCACAATAACTCCTTAGAGGATATTTACAGTGTTATACACTAACTCCTTAGAGGATATAAACAAGGTTCCACAATAACTCCTTAGAGGATATTTACACTGTTATACAATAACTCCTTAGAGGATATAAACAAGGTTCCACAATAACTCCTTGAGGATATTTACAGTGTTTTACACTAACCCCTTAGAGGATATAAACAAGGTTCCACAATAACTCCTTAGAGGATATTAACAGTGTTATACACTAACTCCTTAGAGGATATAAACACGGTTCCCGGTAAATTAATTGGAGGATATTTACAGTGTTATACACTAACTCCTTAGAGGATATTTACAGTGTTATACACTAACTCCTTAGAGGATATAAACAAAGTTATACACTAAATCTGTGAAACAATAATTTACACTCACACTAAGGTTGTTGTTCCGAACGTTTAATTGCCTCAGATTTGATAGCTTAATGCTGAGAGAGGTACTCACCTGTTTGCAGTATATACTTGAGTGTACGCCTTCAACAATCTGGAAAGGATGGACAGTGTATATGTATCTTGCATCATTCTTCCAATCTTTGTAATTTCCCCATACATGATGTTAGAGTAACGACCCTATGGTATTTTTCATGGTTTGTTTTACTCCTACACAGAATCCATATCATCATCTCAAGTCCATAGTTCTTTGGGAGATATTCTGCTTTGAGAATATTGTTCAATAGAATGGTAAGTTTCTTGAGAAGGCAACATACCTATTCCTCAGCAGATATTAATAAGGTTATAAACTGACTCCATAGAAGATATTAAACGAGTGTATACTAAGTCTATGGATGATACAACAAGGTTGCACAATAACAACATGGTTGTTATTCTAAACATTTACTTGTCGCATAGTTCATAGAGTAATGGCAATAGAGGTACTCACCTGCAAGCTTCACGGTGAAATATGAGTTTTGAACACCACCTCGCACATTATATAGCGACAGCCAATCTGTTTCCGAGAACGACCGAGGCCACGTGACTAATATTATCGACTCGGTATTCCCAGAAGTACTTAAAATAAAACCAACTCAGATATTCTAAAATATCAATAACAATCACGTGTCGCCGTACTGACACGGACTCAGCATGAGTGAAATGATGCGAGTATCATTTGTAATTTATTATTTGTAATGTTCAATACAGCTCAGGTTTGAATGGTTATTCTTGTGAACTGTGTATAAAGTAGCTACTAGTTCTACTGATGTTACGGCTACTACAAGTAACACAACTACTTGCAGTGAACTTCTAGTGTAGTTCTACTGATGTTGATCAATTTTGTACATTAAAATATTTTACAATTCAGATTCAGAACTCTGGACTTGCTTCATTTAAGGCTTTAACATTGCAGGGAGGGCTCGGCTGTAGAGAAAATAATATGGATCTTTTGGGCAAGCAACTTTGTATGTACGTTATTATCTGCTGACACAACTTCGTTCAGTTATTACGTTGGTTTCAGCAGATTCCAAATTGAAGATAGTGTCAGTTGTGGTAGTGTCAGTAGTGGTAGTGTCAGTAGTAGTAGTGTCAGTGGTAGTGCCAGTGGTGGTAATGTCAGTGTTGGTAGTGTCAGTAGTGGTTCTGTCAGTATGGTAGTGTCAGTGGTGGTAGAGTCAGTAGTGGTAGTGTCAGTAGTGGTAGTGTCAGTGGTGGTAGAGTCAGTGGTTGTAGTGTCAATAGTGGTAGTGTCAGTGGTAGTAGTGTCAGTACTGGTAGTGTCAGTGGTGGTAGTGTCAGTGGTGGTATTGTCAGTAGTGGTAGTGTCAGTAGTGGTTGTGTCAGTAGTGGTAGTGTCGGTGGTGGTAATGTCAGTACTGGTAGTGTCAGTTGTGGTAGTGTTAGTAGTTGTAGTGTCAGTAGTGGTAGTGTCAATGGAGGTATAGTGTCGTTAGTGGTATTGTTAGTAGTGGTAGTATCATGGTAATTATGGTGGTGTCAGTGGTGACGGTAGTGTCATTGGTAATGGTGTCGGTAGTGGTAGTGTCAGTATTAGTTGACAATGGTGAGGTGTCAGTAGGGTGGTGGTGACGGTGGTTGTGAGTGTCAGTGAGTGGTGGTGTCAGTGGTGGAGGTGGAGTGGTGGTGTCGAACAGGTGGTGGTGTCAGTGGTTGTACTTTCACTGGTGGACAGGTCCGGAGTGTTTCTGAGATGTCAATCGGTGGTGTCAGTGGACGTGGCGGTGTCAGGGTTGTGCACGGTCATTGAGTCGAAGGTGTCACCGTGGTGAGCTCAAGTGGCATGGGACCCGGGAACAACGGTGTCAGACGGCAGCTCGAAAATGGTGACAAGTAAACAAATGATGACAATCAGGATCAAGACGTGGTGTCGTGTCAGTGAACAGTGTTAAATGGCCGACCAAGTCGAACGTCAACATAATCAATTGGCCACAAATGGTTTCATCCATCACACAATCATCAAATGATGATGATTATGGAAAATGATCACGATGATCAGATCCATCATCGATGATCGATATCCATGAATTCGGAATCATTCCATTCATGGACAGATGGGATCACGAAATGGCCGGCCCGAATCATCAAATGACACGGATGACGATCCCACAATGATATTCAAACATATATGATGGAATGGTTCTGAATGGAGTCCATTCAGAGTCATCAGTAGTAGTTATTAATCGATAATGGTCACCAATCAGACAAGAATTAGCAGTGAGGATGGTTGTAGAATCCAGTGATGGAGTGGACAATTGTCAGCGGTAGTGTCAGTAGTGGTAGCGTGTGTGTCAGCCGGTGTAGTGGTAGTGTCAGTGGTGGTAGTAGTGTCACCGTTGGTGGGGTGTCAGTGGTGGCGTCGGGAGTGTCAGTGGTGGTAGTTAGTCAGTAGTGGTCAGGTGTCAGTGTCAATAGTGATAGTGTCAGTAGTGGTAGTGTCAGTGGTGGTAGTGTCAGTAGTGGTAGTGTCAGTGGTGGTAGTGTCAGTAGTGGTAGTGTCAGTGGTTGTAGTGTCAGTAGTGGTAGTGTCAGTAGTGGTAGTGTCACTGGTGGTGGTAGTTAGTGGTCGTTAGTGGTAGTGTCATGTGGTAGTGTCAGCAGTAGTAGTAGTGTCAGTAGTAGTAGTGTCAGTAGTGGTAGTGTCAGTGGTAGTGTCAAGTGTCAGTAGTGGTAGTGTCAGTGGTGGTAGTGTGTCAGTGGCGGTAGTGTCAGTGGTGGTAGTTGTTCAGTGGTGGTAGTGTCAGTGATGGTAGTGTCAGTTGTGCAGTGTCAGTAGTTTCAGTAGTGGTAGAGTCAGTAGTGATAGTGTCTGTAGTGGTAGTGTCAGTGGTAGTAATGTCAGTAGTGGTAGTGTCAGTGGTGGTAGTGTCAGTGGTGGTAGTGTCAGTAGTGGTAGTGTCAGTGGTGGTATTGTTAGCAGTGGTTAAGTCAATAGTGGTAGTGTCAGTGATGGTAGTGTCAGTGGTGGTAGTGTCAGTTGTAATAGTGTCAGTAGTTTTAGTGCCAGTAGTGGTAGTGTCAGTGGTGGTAGTGTCAGTGGTAGTGTCAGTGGTGGTATTGTTAGCAGTGGTTAAGTCAGTACTCGTAGTGTCAGTAGTGGTAGTGTCTGTGGTGGTAGTGTGAATGGTTGTAGTGTCAGTGGTGGTAATGTCAGCACTGGTTGTGTCAGTGGTTGTAGTGTCAGTAGTGGTAGTGCCTGTAGTGGTAGTGTCAGTGGAGGTATAGTGTCAGTAGTGGTATTGTTAGTAGTAGTGGTGTCAGTGGTAGTGTCAGTAGTGGTACTATTATAAGTGGTAGTGTCTGTAGCGGTAGTGTTAGTAGTGGTAGTGTCAATGATGGTGTTGTTAGCAGTGGTAGTGTGAGTAGTGGTAGAGTCAGTAGTGATAGTGTCTGTAGTGGTAGTGTCAGTGGTGGTAGTGTCAGTAGTAATAGTGTCAGTGGTGGTAGTGTCAGTAGTGGTAGAGTGAGTAGTGGTAGTGTGAGTTGTGGTAGTGTGAATAGTGGTAGTGTCGGTAGTGATAGTGTCAGTGGTGGTAGTGTCAGTAGTGCTAGTGTCAGTAGTGGTAGTGTCAGTGGTGGTAGTGTCAGTAATAATAGTGTGAGTAGTGGTAGTGTCAGTAGTGGTGGTGGTAGTGTCAGTTGTAGTGTCAGTAGTGGTATTGTTAGCAGTGGTTAAGTCAGTAATGGTAGTGTCAGTAGTGGTAGTGTCAGTGGTGGTAGTGTCGGTGGTGGTAGTGTCAGTGGTTGTAGTGTCAGTAGTGGTAGTGTCAGTGGTGGTCGTGTCAGTACTGGTTGTGTCAGTGGTTGACGTGTCAGTAGTGGTAATGTCTGTAGTGGTAGTGTCAGTGGTGGTATAATGTCGTTAGTGGTAGTGCCAGTGGTGACAGTGTCAATGGTTGTATTGTTAGTAGTGGTAGTGTCAGTGGTAGTGTCAGTAGTGGTATTGTTAGAAGTGGTAGTGTCAGTGGCGGTATTGTTAGCAGTAGTTTTATCGTTGGTGGTAGTGTCAGTAGGGGTAGTGTCAGTAGTAGTTTTATCGTTGGTGGTAGTGTCAGTAGGGGTAGTGTCAGTAGTGGAAGTGTCAGTAGTGGTAGTGTCAGTAGTAATAGTGTCAGTGGTGGTAGTGTCAGTAGTGGTAGTGTCAGTAGTAGTTTTATCAGTAGTGGTAGTGTCAGTAGTGGTAGTGTCAGTAGTAGTTTTATCAGTGGTGGTAGTGTCAGTAGTGGTAGAGTCAGTATAGGTAGTGACAGTAGTAGTTTTATCAGTGGTTGTAGTGTCAGTGGTGGTAGTGTCAGTAGTGGAAGTGTCAGTAGTTGTAGTCTCAGTAGTAGTTTTATCAGTGGTGGTAGTGTCAGTAGTGGTAGTGTCAGTAGTAGTTTTATCAGTAGTGGTATTGTCATTTGTGGTAGTGTCAGTAGTGGTAGTGTTAGTAGTAGTGTTATAAGTGGTGGTAGTGTCAGTAGTGGTAGTGTCAGTCGTAGTATCGGTTGTGGTAGTGTCAGTGTTGGTAGTGTGAGTAGTAGTAGTTTCAGTAGTAATAGTGTCAGTGGTAGTATCAGTAGTGGTAGTGTCAGTGGTAGTCGTGTCAGTAGTTGTAGTGTCAGTAGTGGTAGTGTCATTGGTGGTAGTGTGAGTAGTGGTAGTGTCAGTAGTGGTAGTGTCGGTAGTAAAGTGTTGGTAGTTGTAGTGACATTCGTGGTTAGAATTCTTCGGTTTATCGTTGACTGTCAAACTGAACTTCGGATTGTAATCAATATACATTGTCGCAGATGACTTTTGGGTAGCGGAAAAATACTGCATTAGCTCTCAGTTCTGCGAGGTCAAGGACGACCTGCAATGGGGTTTCTTGGAACATGTCAGCGCGAAGCTGTATGACGTCACCGATCAGTGTGGCGGGACTTGCTGCGTGTTCACTTTACTTTATCTGCGAAGCTGATAGGACTCGGCTTTACTTGGGGACGATCAATGATTACCTGGCAGTCTACACGTATCCTTGTCGGGGCTTCATGTTAATAGTGTGTGTATGAAGCCAGGTTACCACAGGCATCCAACACATATTTCAATTCCCTATGTCACATGAAACATGCACTGCTATTCAACTGGCCGAGTTTAGTGTGTGTCCAGGTGTGTTGGTAAAAGTATAGACTAGCACAAGCCTCTAAGGTAGTAGTAGTAATTAGTAGTTTAAATGGTAATTTCTAAAAATATAAATGTTCCTTTAACAGACTGGCGTCCTCTTAACTAGACTTGCCTCGCTGGAGGATTGAAATACTATACATCGGTGGGTCTCAGCATTCAGTAAAGCCTTGGAGCAAGGCTAGGAAAAGTATTCCTTCATCATTATCGTTTCCAGTAAGAAAAATGAATCACCTGATGAAAATCTAGAGTTTCCACATTTCAGAATGGGTTGGGCGGAAGGGGAAATAATGTGGGTTTATAGGGACTTTGAGACAGACTAGGGAGACGGGTCACCTGTCTTTTCAGATATCATGCTTGTCGTAAAAAAGGACTACAGGGACCGGGTGATCAGGCTCGCTGCATTGTTTGATGCAGGTCAAGGCTTCCCAACGTCGTATATCAATTCTCTTGCTGACAATCACCGGACTCTCATCCAGACTCCATAATGTATTGTTACGGTGAATAAATTAAATTGCCGTGACAAAAGGTTTAAGAGTCCCCTTCGAGACCCAATAACAACTATCACTTAATCAATTATTTTACAAATTACAAAAAACACTCTCTCATAACAGTATAAACCGGAATATCGCAATGACAAACAATTTTAAGTAACCATTACACACATCAGAAGAATGGAACCTCGAGAATGTCTCCTTAATACATTCCGTACATTCACTATAGTGTAAGGCGTTGGTTGCTGGGAGTGAACCTGTGTGTGAAGGTACATGTACTATGTTCGGTTACCAGTCGAATTGTCCCAGCTACAAACTGCTCCAGCAAATTTGGTCAAAATTGTCCGGATCTTTTGTCAAATCGCCCCAGGGTAGGTCAAATTGCCCCAGAGGGATAGTCAAAACAAGGTAACTGGGCCAGTCTTGGCATCGTTCTGGACTGTACCGTTGGTACTGGCATAATGTAGCCTACGACATACAGCAAAATAGTACAGGCCCAGTTCCGGAATGCCTTAAATGGGCCTGATGTTACGTGATGTTAGCTGGGTTCTCTGTCATCATGTTTTCCACACGTCCACGAAATGATCCATCAGAGTGGTCAGTTCGACTGCTTTCCCTGGGTGTCTCTTTGTAAGATGGTGGATGTAAAGGGTATATATAGCGGTGCACACCACCACTCGCATTCAATTGAAGGGAAAAAAACTACATACGGGTTCGGTTTTGTGTTCGGAATATCGGCTCGTCGCTACCTGTTACGTTTCTGTAGTTAACTTTGTTTAGGGTACATATCTGTTGTACCTGTGCTGACATGACACCTTCAGCAACAGTAATTGGTAGGGTGAACTGTCTGTCAATCTACATGCTAATGATGCTGAAGGGGTCGTTGTCGGCACTGGTACCACAGATACGCACCCTAGATATGTATACAGAAACGAGTCCATTCCAAATTATGGTGTTTTCTTGTTCGGAACTGTCATAATGTTGTTGTAGATGCAATTGATTGCATTATATAAGAAATAAACATATACAGTAATTCGTGATGCACAATACCACTAGCAATCAGTTGAACGGGAACTACATACTGTCTCGGGAAACAATGTGTACAGCTACAGCTTCTCGGTAAATGTTCGAGGCGATCACACATAATAATCTTAATCTTTGACTTTATAAAAACGACTGGCAAAATGGCAATAACATTATGTGTGCATATTGCCTTTTAATGAAAGGGCATTATGTGGCCATATTGCTTTTTGATGGAAGGACCTTATCTGGGCATCTTGTCTTTTGATGGAAGGACCTTATGTGGGCATATTGTCTTTTGATGGAAGGACATTATGTGTGCACATTGTCTTTTGATGGAAGGACATTATGTGGGCATATTGCCTTTTGATGGAAGGGCATTTATGTGGGCATATTGTCTTTTGATGGAAGGACATTATGTGGGCATTTTGTCTTTTGATGGAAGGACATTATGTGGTATACTGACTTTTGATGGAAAGACATTATGTGGGTCTATTTTCTTTTGATGGAAGGACATTATGTGGGCATACTGACTTTTGATGGAAAGACATAATTGGTATACTGACTTTTGATGGAAGGACCTTATGTGGGCATATTGCCTGTTGATGGAAGGAGCTTATGTGGCCATATTGTCTTTTGATGGAAGGACATAATGTGGCCATATTGCTTTATGATGGAAGGACCTTATGTGGGCATATTGTCTTTTGATGGAAGGACATAATGTGGCCATATTGCTTTATGATGGAAGGATATTATGTAGGCATACTGACTTTTGATGGAAAGACATTATGTGGGTCTATTTTCTTTTGATGGAAGGGCATTTATGTGGGCATATTGTCTTTTGATGGAAGGACATTATGTGGGCATATTGTCTTTTGATGGAAGGACATTATGTGGTATACTGACTTTTGATGGAAGGACATTATGTGGGCATATTGTCTTTTGATGGAAGGACATTATGTGGTATACTGACTTTTGATGGAAGGACATTATGTGGGCATATTGTCTTTTGATGGAAGGACATTATGTGGGCATATTGCCTTTTGATGGAAGGACATTATGTAGGCATATTGTCTGATGGAAGGACATTATGTAGGCATATTGTCTTTTGACAGGACATTATGTGGGCATATTGTCTTTTGACAGGACATTATGTGGGCATATTGTCTTTTGATGGAAGGACATGTGTTTATGAAACCGCCATGTGCATGTAGGCCCGACGTTTGTGTCAGTTAATAACAGTTCAGACATGCAGGTGATATATTGCTAGCCCACCGAGATATTACTGAGCAGTTTAATATTGATACACACTGACTCTGAGTTTACCGGTCATTGTTTGCACCCCTTCCCATGGGCATGGTTAACAAGCACTAGCCTGTAACATCTTGTGATATAACCCGCTAGGGTAACACCCCACCCAACTTTCACTCTAATAACTACACCGCTGAAGTGATAATTACAAAAATATAACTCTTGAAAAGAAATAAATAATGTTTAATAACATTTCACAAGAGACATACTTCATACACAAACAATAGACGGGCATGTACAAGCTGTGAAAACAACCTGTCAAAACATTACATTCTGTCTAAAGTACAAGTGTTGTTGGGCTTAAAAGTAGTTTTGAATCAGGACAAAATTTAGGAAAATACCTACTAACGGTAAGATGTGGACATTCCCAACAAAAGTACACAGGCATGAGTCACCCTGATACCGAATGTCTACAATCAGTTGTACTTCAGACAAGAGTGTGTGATATGTGTTATCACCTGTTTTTTAAAACAGATTTCAGAGATATGTATATACATGTATCACGGGTGTGAGCTTGATGTGAGGGGAAACAGGAAACAGAAGCTGGTCTTTGACCTAAACCAAACTTGGGTGATACCAGCACAGGTATGACACCAACAAACCTAGTCCCATAATGAAGGAGAGCATGGGATTCAAATCCACATTCATGTTTCTGGCATGTCCAAGAGAGGCAGGTCAGCACAGTGAATTGGAGGGTATGACCACTGGTAAAGTAGGGAAACATGCAACATCGGGACTTCTCAGACTGAGGTTAGACTGTGAACCTCAGGCCTGGTCTCATGGAATGTTCCGAGTCCATCAATAGTTCAACATGTAATGGTGAAGATGCCTTGTGACCAGCCACATGGGCTGTAGTTCTTTACATACCACTTCCATCACTACAGCAGCAGACATCGGGGTAAAACGTAACACAGCTCACTTCCAGCTGATGGTTTCAGTAACAAAACTACATATTGGAACAGACAGCTTATCCTTGTAGCTCTTTACTGGTGGCATACCAATCCTGCATAAGTGACTGTGTCATGCTGGCTTGCTGGCTTCATTTCAAATAGAGCTCAGCTTAGGATGATGTGTTTTAGAACACACGACTACTGGTGGTCCTTTGTTTCCATCCATCAAACAGCCCACCCCAGTAGTATAGGGAATAGCTGGACGGGACCACAAAGGTGCATAAAGCCTGTAAGCTCCAAACCAGCCAAATCGGCTCCCAGCGTCACAAGTTTTTTTAGTGTTTTGCACAAAACTGCATTTGAGTTTTTTGATCACTTTTTGTTTGCATTGTTTTTTCTTTGTGCTTCCCAGTAGTCTATCCAACCCCAAGACAGGTATACCGAAACAAAAACACCAGTATGTCGATGCAAGTGCACTCGAATTCGAGATACACTAGGTATGGAACACAACAAAATGCCCGGAACCAAGCTATCGCACGAAGCCTATGCCGAGATTAGATCGGGTCGTTTGTCCCTTCAGGAACCGAAGAGGAAGTTTTCAGTATACCTGTCTTGGGGTTGGATAGACTACTGGGAAGCACAAAAAAACCCAATGAAAACGAAAAGTGGTCCATAAACTCAAATGCAGTTTTGTGCAAAACACTAAAAAAAATTGTGACTCTGGGAGCTGATTTGGCTAGTTTGGAGCTTACAGGCTTGGTGCACCTTTGTGGTCCTGTACAGCTATTACCTATACTACTACTCACCCCATTAAGCCACCCACCACCCAACCATGTGTTTATGCTAAAGACTGAAACAGCTGTACTCTTTCCTTGTACAGTTTGTGGTACTCAGCAGCCAGGTAGAAGAAGGGTGTGTCCACATTCTGCATCTCCTTCTGTAAACAGCAATACAAACAACTCTGAACCATACAGGAACATGTAAACCTACAAACATGAGTCATGTCTGAACCATACAGGAACATGTAAACCAATACAAACATGAGTCATGTCTGAACCATACAGGAACACGTAAACCAATACAAACATGAGTCATGTCTGAACCATACAGGAACATGTAAACCAATACAAACTCAAGTCTGAACCATACAGGAACATGTAAACCAATACAAACATGAGTCATGTCTGAACCATACAGGAACACGTAAACCAATACAAACATGAGTCATGTCTGAACCATACAGGAACATGTAAACCAATACAAACATGAGTCATGTCTGAACCATACAGGAACATGTAAACCAATACAAACTCAAGTCTGAACCATACAGGAACATGTAAGCCAATACAAACATGAGTCATGTCTGAACCATACAGGAACATGAAAACCAATACAAACATGAGTCATGTCTGAACCATACAGGAACATGTAAACCAATACAAACATGAGTCATGGCTGAACCATACAGGAACATGTAAACCAATACAAACATGAGTCATGGCTGAACCATACAGGAACATGAAAACCCATATAAATCATTGACAGACAAGACAACATCCCTCAGAGCGAGGAGAGAAGTTATACAGGTAAAGTACTCACAGCTGAACACTCAAAGTACTCCAGTTGATGTGTTGTGGCCAGGTCCTTCCCTGCCTTGGGGCTGACCACTCGCCTCTGGTCAAGGTCTACCTTGTTGGCAATCAGCACACCTGTGACAGGAATTGCAAAAATTGGGAACAATGCAATACAATACATTATCACAAAGTGGCTCTCATAAGTTATATCAATATATAGAGAGAAACAGAGGTGGTCACATGATGACTGTTACCTATCATCAGGAAACAGGTGTATCCTACAGTATACTACTCAAAGTTTGCTAAGGATAATGGTTTCTTGATATAAAATAAAACATCCCACAAAGACAGATTAAATATCCTGGTACACAATGACTGGTAACCACAGATGATCTCTATGGATGGTGCTTTATCAAAATTAGGGGTTGGATCAGTAGAGCTAGAAGAACTGATCACCATGTCCTACAGCGGGTCACGACAGGTGTGCAGTGCAGGGACGACATTCTGGAGGAGTATGAGACCGTATGCTGGTGCAACAGAACAAGACTTGCACAAACTCAACATGAAGTGCCATGCCCAGTCACCCTATTGAAAACATGTGGAACAAGCTGTATATCCTCCTCTCACAGTGCACTGTCCTTCCAGCAACATCCTCCTCTCACAGTGCACTGTCCTTCCAGCAACATCCTCCTCTCACAGTGCACTGTCCTTCCAGCAACATCCTCCTCTCACAGTGCACTGTCCTTCCAGCAACATCCTCCTCTCACAGTTCACTGTCCTTCCAGCAACATCCTCCTCTCACAGTGCACTGTCCTTCCAGCAACATCCTCCTCTCACAGTGCACTGTCCTTCCAGCAACATCCTCCTCTCACAGTGCACTGTCCTTCCAGCAACATCCTCCTCTCACAGTGCACTGTCCTTCCAGCAACATTCTCCTCTCACAGTGCACTTTCCTTCCAGCAACATCCTCCTCTCACAGTGCACTGTCCTTCCAGCAACATCCTCCTCTCACAGTGCACTGTCCTTCCAGCAACATCCTCCTCTCACAGTGCACTGTCCTTCCAGCAACATCCTCCTCTCATAGTGCACTGTCCTTCCAGCAACTCTGCAGGAACTTCACAGCTCTTAATGAACCAGCCAGACACTTAGGGTGTGATTGCATCATGCAGATGCACTTCAGAAAGTTGGTTCTTTGGACGATGAATTTGTTTTTGAGACATTTTAGTTGTGGTCAGATACTTCTATTTTAACAGGTGGCCTGACCAATTACAGGTAACATGTTGTTTGTTGTCATGGTGTGGCATATGATAATACACTTTTGTTTATTACACATCTCAACATGGTCAATGTAATATTGTCTTTGGCTGTTCTAACAGTTGCACACAATTTGACATTTTACCTTTACCTTAAAAGTGGTGACACCCGTGAAGGTCTGGGTTAGAATTGATCGTCAGTAACCCATGCTTATCGTAAGAGGCGACTAACGGGATCAGCTAGTCAGGCTCGCTGACTTGGTTGACTCATGTCATCGGTTCATAACTGCACAGATCGATGCTCATGCTGTTGATCACTGAATTGTCTGGTCCAGACTCGATTATCTACAGACCGCCAACATATAGCTGGAATATTGCTGCATGCGGCATAACACTAAACTCGCTTACTCATTAAAAGTGATGAACCATAGCAAAATTTGAGTAGTATGCATAATTCTGATAAAACAAAGATCATCAAGCGGGGTAATTCATCGTGAGGTTTGTAACCCAACTTTTACCAATTAGGAATATTAAAACTACTTAAGAACTGGTCTTTCTCTTCTGATCAAGCCTGTTCATAACAGTAATAGAGCCTCCAAACCAGTCACAAGAAAGGGGAAGTAACTCTTCAAAACAATTCAAGCCAAAGATTTGTTTTACTTTATTTTTAACACTAAGCTGTTAACTGAATACTGAACAACACCTGAACATCATGAGATGGACATCAAAACTGTTATGTGTAGAATGGAGCCAAACAGCTCTCGAAACTTGAGGATGAATGTAATATGAAGAATTACTGATGCAGGTGTACCTGGCAGAACTACATCTGGACACTGGGAGCGAACCCTCTCCAGCCACTTTTCACAGCTGGAGAAAGAGGTCTCGTTGGTCACATCGTACACAGCCATCACCATGGACGGGTTCTCCCACTGCAGGAATACACAAGTCAATAAGGTATACAAGGCTTACACTCAGTCAACAGACTGCTTGACGATGGCCAGAATTGGAAATTTTAATATAAATTGAATATTTTTATATTTATCCTATCTCACGACTTGCACCTCTCTCTCTTGCTTCAACTTTTAGTGGAACGACTGTAAACTTTTTTCCATAGGCCTCCTTGTCCATTCGCCCGTGCACTCCATGCTGATCTCCTTAATTAGCTTCCTAGTTCCTAATGAAGCTTGCAGCATGCCCCACTAATTGCCCACGTGACTACCTTGAATGATCATTCTCATCTTGGAGCCAACATTGTAATCTGAGTAATGGGGAGGCCGGGCGGCATCCATCGCGTGAGATAGGATAAGTATATAAATAAACAATTTATATTATAATTTCCAAACTTTTAAACTTATCCTATCTCACAACTTGCACTTATCCCACGGTTGGACGGTGGGCCGCAGATTACCCTTCTGTCTGGACAGTGCGAACAGCTTGTCTTGGAGCTGTGTGGACTGATGACAACCGTAGATAGCGATGTACAAGGGAGGCCTGTTACGCATGCACGCAACTCCTATGCTTGTAGTGGGTTCTTCGGAACCCCTTGGCTTACTAAGCACAACGACTCCCAGGGAGATGGGTGCTCCCGAGCGATGTGGTGTTCGGCCTAAGCTTAGTCAAAGGATGTGCCCGGCAACTTTGGAGGCAGAACGCAACTAAATCCACTGGAATTTGGGAGTGTCACACTTCACTGATGTAACTGCTCCGTGGAGTAGAGGTCAGTAAGCGTGAATGTCGAACACCTCTGCATCGTCATACTGATTGTGCCTCAGGTCCATAGGGCCACGCTAGGTGGCCGTTTTCCGATGCCTTGGTATGGAGGCCAAGTGAAGTAGTTCTTAAACCCATATAATGAGAACAAAAGGTTGAGGTCCAGTTCAACTCTTATTCAGTATATACAAGGAAGTAGTAACGCGAATGCGGAACCGTCCCTCATCTGCGTTGTTGGGCCGATGTAAGCTGCTGAGCCAGTACAAGAGGTCCGAACTGGTGTAGTCCCTGGACATCCGTGACAGACAGGTCTCGCAGGTAATGTGTAGAGAAGACTGTATCAGAACGCCAGAAGCAACCTTCCATGATAGTGGTCAAGGAGCAGAGGGCCATCGTCCAGGCTAGTGCACGAGTCTCATGAGGATTGGAAGCGGCTGGAGGAGGCAACCCTGCAAAGGGGTAGGCTCGCAGGATCATGACACGCATCCAGAAGGCCAATGTGGTCCGGGAAACCTCAGTTCTTGAAGCGTTCGACAAGGGTATGAAGAGGCACTTCCGTAGCCGTCGACGGTCCCTGGAGGCAGCAAGGTAAACGTGTAGAGCCCTAACAGGGCAGAGTGTCAAATCTTCATTATCATCAGGCCCAAGAATGGTGGACAACGGGAGAATGGTAAACATCCGGTCCGGTTGCCCTGGCAGTTGGTTTTCGCAATGAAGTCCCAGCGGAGACCCAGGAAAGCCTTGGCATGCCTCTTCCACTCGAACTGCACCCGATTGACATCAAGCGCATGCAGTTCAGATATACGAGCAGCGGTAGCCAAAGCTACCAGGAAGAATGTCTTGAATGTCACTTGTCAAAGTCCTTGTCTTCTAAGGGTTCATAATCTGTAGAAATTGTATGACGAAGGACAACGGACAGGTCCCAGGCCGGAGGTCTGAACTTCCTGGACTGGTCAGAGAGTCTATAGGAGTGTAGTAGACTCTGCAACTCGGGAACAGTGGAAATCTCAGTGCCCGTGGTAGCCAAAACCGAGTTACTGGCGGCTAAGTAGGTAGCTAACGTAGTACCCTTGAGTTTCTTCGTAGTGTGGAGATGCTGGAGAAACTCAGCAACAACCTGAGCCGAGGTGGAAGTGGGAGATGCAGTTCCCCTAAGCTTGCAATAGTCTTCAAACTTCTTCCACTTGTTGTCGTACAAGGAACGTGTCGAAGTGATAGCTGTGGCTACTCGGCAAGAGTAGCCCTTAGCTATGAGAGACCTCGGAAGATGCGCCAAACATGTAGATGGAGGGTCTGAGGTGACCCGTGGCGCAGTTCCGAGTGAGGGTGAAGAAGTAGGTCGTCCCGGTTGGAAAGCGGTACTGGGTTTGGCTCTGCCAGGCTTCTTAGGTTGACGAACCAACTTCTCACTGGCCAGAAGGGTGCGACCAAAAGCAGTAGTATGTTGCTGGTGGCCAATAGTGTCTGTATTACTTTTGGTAGCAGAGCTTGAGGGGGAAACGCGTAGGCATTGAGACCCTCCCATGATATTGCCAACGCGTCGAGGTCCCACGCCAAGGAGTCTGGGATTGGTGATACGAACTTTGGAAGTTGGTTGTTGAACCTTGTGGCGAACAGATCTATTTGCGGCCGTGAAAACGGGTAGATCATCGACCGAAAGATCTTGGGCAGTGACTTCCACTCTGTAGGGGACGGTCGGTTGGATCGAGACAAGGCATCGGCGATCACATTTTTAACCCCGGGAATGTGTCTGGCTCTGGCTACGATGTTGAGTGAGTCGATGAGATGGAAGAACCTGATCGCCCATTGTAGCAGATACGCCAAGCCTGTCGAGCCTAGATGATTTATATACCAAACCACTGTTGAATTGTCTGATTGGATCAACAGACTGGTTGATTGAAGCTCTGTTGCCCAATGTGAGATGGCTTGAATTACCGCCTTGAATTCCAGCTCGTTTATATGAAGTACCCGTTCGTCGGATGACCATAGCCCGGCCACTTGGTGGTCGAGGAAGTGAGCTCCCCAACCCATGAGGGATGCATCGACGAAAAGGTGATGAGTCGGTGCAAAGGGCATCATAGAGACTCATAGAGGCGCAAACATTCCGTTCATCGAGCCACCATTGAAGGACTGGAAGAAGCAGTTCTGGAAGGCAAATGAGTTCCTTGGGGTTGTCGGCCTGAAGGTACGGGCGTAGAAATCGCTGTATCGGCCGAAGTTGGAGCTGGCCTCTGTACGTTAAGGCTTGAGCTGAGCTGAGCTCCTACCACTGTCGTAAGGTTCTCGCCTGAGACAGTGCTGGAGGAATGCATTGCTGAATTTTTATCCACCTGTCGTGAGGTACGAACATCATCCCTTGACAAGTGTCGAACAGTGCTCCGATGAATTGTTAGTTCCGATTTAGCGATGTTCAACAGCCACCCTAACTGTCTGAGCAGCGTGGTGTTTAACTGTAGCTGGCGAAGCAATACGATCAGATCCTGTTGAGCCTGGATGCAATCGTCTATGTAGCTTTCGAAGTGGGCTTGGTAATTCGTGTAAAAAGCCACGGGGCTGTGGAAATTCCAAATGGTAGGACTTTCCATTGGTAGTGATTCCCGTTGAACACGAAGCGAAAGTACTTCCGGTGTTCTGGATGTATCGAAACGTGAAGATAAGCATCCTGAAGATCTAGGCTGATGAGGAAGTCTCCCTTCAAGATGGTGCGTAAAAGGTTGATCGACACCATCCTGAAGTGAGGAGGTGGAAGCAGGAATCGGGCATTGAACAACTTCATATTGAAGATGAGCCGGAGTTTGTTGGAATTTTTCTTTGGAACCAAAAAGATGGGGGAGTAGAATCCAGGAGTGACGGGCGATGGACCTAGGAGCTCTATCTCAAGTTTGTCTAATATCGTACCTATTGTGGATTGCAGAGTCTGAATCTGGTCCACAGGATATGAGCGATGAGCCGGATGCGACGTCAGAGGTGGACTGCCAATAACGGGTAGCTGATAGCCATGAAGTAGCAGGCTGGTGACATACTGATCTTTAAGGATGGTCCAATTCGGGGCGAAGATCTCCAATCTCCCGCCTACCGAAGTATTGTAAATCGGAACGACTGGGGGTGGGAGGTCCCAGTCGTGCGATTGTCTCAAGCCATCACTGCTTCTCGGCGCTGGTCCCTGGGCCAGAGTTGGTCCTGGGGGGGTAGACGGGGGAAACCACCACGGCCAGATCTCTTTCCTCTGCCACGGCCTTGAGTGGATGCGCCAGGAAAAAGATTGTGTAAGTCCGGATTTGTAGTAGTGAACTGTGCAGTTCGACGCTGTTTTAATGAGTCCTGGAGCTGTGACTTCTGTATCTTTAACAGTTCAATCGAGACTTGAAAGTGGGTTTCTTCTTCAACTTTATTAGATACTTCTTGGATGCTACCATTGAAGAGGGAGTCAGTAAACCAAGTCGGCGAACAGCAAGAGTGTAGCCAAAAAACGAGACAACTGATCCAGGATAATTTGGAACTGGTCCAGAGCTAAAGTCATGCATCCTCGGAAGCGTAAGCGTCTTGATCGGAGTAAGTATGCTCCAGAGCAGTGTTAACAACGTCGACTGCTGCAATCACGCAACTAATAGATGGCAACGTCTTTCTCACGGCTGAATCCATGTGAGCCAACTCTCGGTCCTCAATAAGGTAGGGCGAAGCAGCTCGTTTGCCACACAGGGTTCCAATATCCTCATCAACTGTTGGAGCCGTAGAGATTTTTGTTAGGCCGTGGACATGAGAGGTAGGATTATATCTGGGAGCAGAGAATCCGTCCTTAATTCGTTTCAGGCTCTTGAAACCATCATTTAGCGTACTGGATAATTTCAGAATACAAGGTCGAGATGGTAGGGTGATGGTAGACCAATCCCGGTTCCTAAGAGTACAAGAGTGATCCAGGTCATCTGCTGAAGTACTCAAGGAAAGTTGGAGCTTCTCAACAATCCAAAGGAGTACCTGAGGTGTCTCAACTGCTGCAAAGCTACCCCCAGGGGTAGATAACTCAGAGTGAGAGGGAGATGCAGTCATGGCTATTTGGACTGGATCAATCTCAGGAGGTGGACCAGATGAAGAGCCAGGAGCTACTGAAGCCGGATGGACTGGAGTAGAAGGCTGTATTTGGTTCCAGGCTGAGGTTATGGCCCTGATCATCATATTTAGATCTGGAGTCGCTGTAGGAGTGGGATTGTTATCAGGTTCCCATGACTCAGCGATGATCCTAGAGTGAGTCGAAGGATTCTCAGAACGTGTAGACGGAACATCATAAGAGGCTGTAGGCCTATTAGTGGTATCAGATCAATGATCGCCCGAACGTCGGTCAGAGGAGCTGTATCGAGATCTCGACGTGGTAAGTACCGAAGTAGGTTGGTAAGCCGGTGATCTGGATTCCCTAGTATGGCTAGGTGATCCGGTATGATATGAAGAACTAGTCCGGGGTCGCTGTAGTTCTAGTTGGTAATCTGGTTTTGACTGGAGCTCTGGTTCGACCATCTGAATAGGATCGGCCATGAGATGTGGATCTGTACTGTGATCCCGATTGGTCAATGGCTCTGTAAGGTGATCTAGATCGTATAGGTGACCTGGGTTGGTAAGATGATCTGGACTTGTAAAGTGATCTGGATCGATTCGATGCACTAACTGGAAACTGTGATCGTGATCTGGATCTATAAGGTGATCTGGATCGAACAGGTCATCTGGTTTGCAGTTGCGATCTGACTTGATTTGGTGATCTGGATCAGTTAGGTCATCTGGATCGGTCTGGCGATCTGATTCGAGGTTGTGATCTGGATCCATTTGGTGATCTGATTCGAAGTTGTGATCTGGATCCATTCGGTGATCTGGATCGATTAGGTGATCTGGATCGGTCCGATGATCTACTTCGATGTTGTGATCTGGATCGGTTCGGTGATCTGGATCTGTCCGGTGATCTGGACCCGTTTGGTGATCTGGATCGGTTAGGTGATCTGGATTGATCAGGTGATGTGGATCGTAGTTGTGCTCTGGATCGTGACTGTGATCTGGATCGATCCGGTGATCTAGAATGATGTGGCGATCTGGATCGGCGATTAGGTGACGAAACCTGAAGTGTTAATTCATGATGAACGTCCCCTGGCGACGCTGTCGTAGCCAGCTCCGTCCAGTTCAATGAACTGTGGGGAGACAGTTGGCTGGTTGAACGCTGTTGGCCAGGCTCCAAACAAATTGAGACAGTCGAGGGGATATGTACCGATGATCTGGATGATGATAGTGTCGATCTAAGGTCCCCTGGTAGTGTAGATGGGACAGGCAACGAAGAATTATCGATCACAACCACCCGCAAGTGATCTGACACTATGGAAGGATGTGATTGATGCGTACGTAATAGGTGCCGAACGTCCTCAGATAAGTAAGAATCTGATGACGCGTCCATAAAATCCTCTTGAACCGCAGACGTCGCTTTCTTGCGTGAAGGTACAATTTTCTGTCACTGTAACTTGATACGCTTGGCGGGAGTGGGATCAGATTCTGTTGATTTCCTGTCCCTATCGGCAATTCTCTGGGTGCAAACACGAAGGTAGGCCATAAAATCCTCATCTTTTAGTGAATTACACTTGCCACATCGTTTGTTCCAGTTACATTGTCCAATACAGTCACTGCAAGACGAGTGAGGGTCGAGGGACGAATAATTCGTCTTGCATTGAGCACAAACTTTCCTTTTCCTTGACTGATTTTCAGTCTTCCCCATGATGTTAGGGTGAAATAATGTCCCTAATATACAGCACGTCCACACAGTCGTGCGACAAGAAAGAGAAAGATCATTCATGGTAGTCACGTGGGCAATTAGTGGAGCATGCTGCAAGCTTTATTAGGAACTAGGAAGCTAATTAAGGAGAGCAGCATGGAGTGCACGGGCGAATGGACAAGGAGGCCTATGAGTTTACAGTCGTTCCACTAAAAGTCGAAGCAAGAGAGAGAGGTGCAAGTCGTGAGATAGGATCAGTTTAAACATTTAAGATTGTAAACTATTAACAAAGTTGAAGCATTTGCTTTAAGAGTAATATGGCAACTTCATCCATAACATAAAACTCGAGTTTCCATTCTTACCCACAGGCCCTCGTGTCTTTGTGAGGATTAAAGATATTAAAAAACATAAAACAGTTGAGGTGACCCCTGACCCGAAATGCTTCACAGTACAATACATTATGACAAGGCCGGACACTTTGGTGTACCCCACCCGCCTGCTTTACCAATTGTTACGCTACCATTGCATGCAGCCGATTAAAACTTAATGTAAACATAATCATGGATGATTGGCCTATCGAGAACCACTCATGACACCAACCAATTCTTTATTGTTATTTCTGCAAGTTGATTGAAACCCGATTTTGACCCTCAACTAAACGATCCTGACACAAATGGATGACGATGTGTCCGCACAAAACGGGGGCGTGGTCAAAGCAAGCACTCTGGTTGGTTGATTTGTTTAGGAGACATTTACAACTGATGCTTTCTTTTGAGAATCCATTGCTCGAAAAATATTCTTACATTAAGCAGTCAATGAAATGATAAATTCCCACGAATTTATTAAGAATGTGCAGATTTGCAAGCTTTGTTTAAAGTAAATGCAAGCAATATGAGAGGTGAATCATACTGGTCAGTAGGAGGAGCATAAAAAGTAACAGCCACCACTGGCGGCACTAGGTCCGAGCAACAAAACACCCCAGCCTAGTTGGAAACTGGACCCTTATAGTCAGTTACTTCCTTGCCTCGGGAGGATGACATAGCAAAGTATATCAAGTAGTACTCCTTAGTGGAGAAGTGGTAAAATTATGCCTGAAAGAGTTAACTTACAAATTTCCTGACTACTTCCGAGAATATTTCTTTACCAGCTGAATCAAACATGAATATTTCCTGCAATCACAAAGTCATTGATCAGTTACAAATACAGACGCATGCATGTAACAATATGTACTTCTATACTGCAACGTATACAAGTGCACACCAGGTCAGTATACTTCAAACATCAGCCGACGGATCATTAACTAATAATGACAGTTTTAACACCCTTAGCTCTCAGTGATTGAAACAATTACTGTTCAGGATTTACAGTTGACAGTGAAGTGATCCTGTTTATCCCAACTTTAGAACTATATGGTTCAAAGATCACGATAGTACAACTTAGCCACACCTACCTAACCTAACACCACAACCCCACCTGACTGTGTACTTACCACACTGTCTTGAGAGTCTGGGATATTGATGGACTTCACGAGGAGCTCCACCCCTGTGTTCTGGGAATCATACAAACATAGAAAATCACCTGCGATGGCTGGGAATAGTAGCAAAACATTTTGTTGCCTACATTTTCTGTATTCACCACCACCCAATCACCCTAACAAACTTTTAGAGCAGTTTGAAAGTAATCAATATGAATATCATTACATAATTACATAGTAGCTAGTATTGAAGAGGTTTGTTTCATCAGCATTGGAACTATGCCTTTTCACCATAGCTCAATCTCTGAAAAAATATATCAAATCTTTCGATTTTCTGTTTCATCATTGCCTATTATATTACAGCAAATACAGTGTGGCTGTGATCAGACATGTGGAGTTATCTCCCTTAGACCAATGAGTGCATGTTTGGGTTACACAACACCAAATGTTTTCCCACAGACTTCTATAGTAACCTTATATTTTTTTGTAAATCATCCAGCTGTCAACAGCCATTCCATGTACACATGGGTACAGTCAGGCCTTTAATGTGGCTGGTTGTAGACCGGGTACATCCAGGATTTTGCATGTAAAATGGCAGCCTCCATGTGTATAGACATGCGGCAGACAATAAACCATGATTGCCTGAATACAGCCTTGTTAAATAATTGCACAAGACAGAAAACAATATCTTAGCCTCTCTTACATAACCACAATCCAACCACATGGGACAATAGGCACTCACCCTCTTAACATGCAAATAACATGTTCAGATGTCACTTTATGAGCAAAGACTTGTTACTTTTCTTCCTTTGCCTACATGAAAGCATTATTAGGGCACAAGCTACACAATCCAAATACAGCATAAGCAAGACTATATGAAGTAGCAAGTAACATGATGACAAATGACCATCTTACCATGCTATAATTCTTTGGAAAACTGGATCCATCACTGTGAAAAACTTGGCAAATGCTGCTCTTGCCAACCCCGGACTCCCCTGAATTGACAAGAGTAAGATATAATATGATGCAGTACAACAGATTACAGCTACATCATTTGGCCTTCAGGTTATTCAGTCTGGTCAAACCAATGACAAAGAAAGAGTCGCACAAAATCAAGCGCTTAATGAGACAAAGGATGGCAGCTTTCAACCAACCAACCAACCATCATTTCTGATTCTGGATCAGAACATCACGATAATGAATATGTTTGCAGTGTTTGTTGGAAACTGAAACAGGAATGTCCTAACTGGGTACATTAGTGTAACATTAGTGGTTAATGAAAGTCCAGCCACTGGGCTGCTAGTCAGAACAAGGCAGTTCTCGATGAGAATGATGTTTCATATCTCAGGGATTTACCGTGACTTCTGTTTTTTTAGGGTCCCTGGGACTCATACTCTTAACTTTCAGGGGACCTGGACAACAAAATGGGGGTCCCAGACACTTAAATATTATTATTAATACTGTTATTGTATTGTGCATCATGATCATCACATTAATTGTTACAGTAATTGAACTGCAAATGATACCATAACCCAGCTTGTAGCAAACTCTTTGATTGTTACTCGATTGGAATTTTTACAAAAGGTATTTGGACTTTTTTTGTGTCCCTGTGGATGCGCTAATAAATTTCGTAGCGTCCATTGTCAATTTTTATGCATATAGGACGCAGGAATTCACGCCCGGTAAATCCCTGATATCTATTGTCAAGGATGTGAGGAAGCTGAAAAGATAGAACCTTCCTCCAATAGAGTTCATGCAGAATATTATTTATAATTTAAGCCAAAGGGTATTACATGGCTGTAGCACATGGTTGAAGACCATGTGCTCTGTCAATGTTACAAAAATGTTTAAGCAGGTAAATATTTTGGGAATAAATTAAATAATATTACAACAAAATATATTCTACTATTATGAAGAGCTGTGAAACCCTTTTATAATTCATATTTGTTTCCAGAACAAGATACAGAAAGATAACAATATTGAAATGTTTCTCACCTGAAAAGAGAAAACCTCCCTCAAAAGAGGTCATGCAGAATGCATGAGAACAGGTGAGAACATAAGTTTAGATTGAGAAGTGGACCAAAAGGCCAATCGAAGACAGGTAGCATCTGACAGGTGTCAATGGAAGTTAGATGCTAGGCAGTTATAATACTGGATGCCTCCAGTTATGGAGGAAGAAGCTAAAAATAGAAAGGGGAAGTCCAGGTGAAGGTGGAGAAATAAGTGGCTGCTAAGGGCATCAAGATTGAAGATGTTAGTGGGCTGACATTCAACTGTAGACAAGGACAAAAAATATTCAAAACAACAAGAAATGATGATAATTGAAAATGTATATGCATAAATGGATATTATAAACTTAAAAGGATGGGGAGGGTTATGAGAGGGTGGCACTTGAAGGGCCACTGATCAAGAGCGATTAATGTTTCCAGCCAACAGTCTAATTACGAAAACCTAGCTGCAAACTGGTCAGGCTCTGCTCCCTCGACCATGATGGACACAGGGACTGGGCTACTGTCCACCCTGGCAGAATTTCTTCAACCTAATCAGTGGGACATTAGGAAGGGTGGATGCCTATCAGATGCCGTTATTTGAAAATATCCCCGGTAGTTCTTGTCTGATTGTAATAAAGTATCCCAGCAGTGTAGGCTTTTTCAGAGTTTCAAATGTTTGGATGGTATAATGACTGATCCAATTTGATTTGTCAAAAGGTAGTGTTATGTATGTAGATTTACTAATCTATACTGAATACACCGGGTCGTAAAGTCTCTTTGTAAAAACAATGTCCTTCCTTCAAAGGATTACCGCCAATACATTGATTGATTGCTCATTATTGGCTAACTAAATTACTTTTTTAAAGAATGGCAGACATCATGCAATTAGTTGCCAGGTGTGTTATCTTGGGTGACCAATGGGACTATACACCTATGTGAAAAACCTGAAACGATACATCACATTTTTGCATATTAGACTGTTAAAAGACACATGACATGGAACAGGATACTTTGTCATCTGCAGATGAATGGCATCTCATTCCTTTATGTGGATATTGATGGATACATTCCCCGAACAAGGTAACAGCCTGATATTGTTGCTATAACTTTAATTCTAATATTTGCATTTTGTTTTCATTTATTTGTTATGGCATTCAACAGAATCTTTTTCTTTTGCCATGAAGTGTAATGAGACAGACAACATACACTAGGTCGCACTCAGGGCGTGTGTGTAAAATATGATACACCTTGGCAATCTATAAAATGTCTAGATATTACAATCATGTTATAAATTTACTAAGTATAAGCAGATCGTGTGCATATAATTAAGTTTCAAAATCCATACAAATATGATAATTAAACTACATGTAATTAGGATTATAAGACAAAATATAAAGATGTACATTAACTTCGTCATTTCAGTCCTAACATTTTTTACCACTGGCAGATGGTTAAACTTACAATGTTTTCATTTGTTATCAAAATAATGCCATTTAATACAACATTCAGATTGACTATTCTCCCCAAGACTCCCTATGTACTTAGTTAGCGGCACTTTCAAAACAATGCTATTGTATCAGGCTTCTCGCCAAATCAAGGTCAAACTACATCCATTTACGTTAACATTTTTATAAAGTCAACATTACTATGAAATCAAAAGTTTACATGAAAATCGGCATTTTTATCAAAGTGAATATTTTTTATAAGAAACCAAATTATTCATCAAAGTCTACATAATTTTACAACAAAATCAACATAAGTTTATCGAGTAAAAAAGATTTCATCTTTGTTGATCAGTCTATACTTATACATGAGGGTGGCCCAGCAGAGGTAACGAACCAGTCATGAATTCGGGGATATCATCCAGGTACTCACTGGAGAAAAACAACAACAAAAGCAACAACCAGTCCACGGAAATTGCTCTGGATCAGTGGCCCTTTAAAAGGTTATAACCAGGATGATTCATCCAGAGTTATATACACCATCCTGCTATGCTTGCATCACTGAACTTCTAAAATTGTTGTAGAACCACTCTAAATGCGTGGCGATGTCACCCAGAAGCATATGGAGAATGTTGGTTTTAGTTACATAGTTTTTGATATCACTAGATCTACTTATTGAAGCAAAATCACATTGGTTATTCATAAAAATCTAACTTGTGGTGTCAGTAGAGGAACTGGCCAATGAATTATCGATAGCTTAATAAGGTTATAAACGATATAAAACGGCACTGAATTGTCTCTAGGGGCAGACCTGTACAACAAATTATCATGGCCAACAGGAATTCGAACTAAGATGTGCGAATACCCACGCAAGCTGTGTATCCTTTGCGGAGTATACTCAGCGACGAGAACTATTACTACAACTACAGCTTCGACACCTCTCTATTCCATAAAACTATTTAAGCATCTGCATGATCTGGGACGTTTCAGAAAATGTGAATATTGTTTAAGTTATGAATACGAATAATCAATTGTGATTTAGATGTCAATACACGGGTCGTACGCGAATTCCAAATCTTACCGACAACAATACACTTTGCCCGCAAAATAGTCGGCATAACGGTATACTGGTTGAAACCTTTCGCCTGTAACCAACGTAAACTTTTAACTTGCCGCACTTGTCAAAGTATGCAAGTCTCGCAAGAAGAAAATACATGGCCCTGATTGGTTGAAATTTGTCAATAATATTTTCCAAACAACTAACTATTAAATCAGGAGACGACCGAAGGAGAAAGAAGCCTGAAACGATAACGAACTTTAGACACAGCGGACTATGTAATGAAATATGAAATACCCGGGAAATACATTCATTAATTTTTTTCAACTGCTTTCACGATAAGTGAAAGTACTTTCCATGTCCTTCAAAAACAATAAAGTGATACACAAATATATAATATTCGTGACACTGACAGGAGGGGAAAATGGTCTTGAAGTATAATTTACATAATCCATTGTAAGCCTGAACATATATTAGTTTTGTTATTGTTAGTGTTTTGTCCTAAATTCCACTGTTAGTTCACATAGTAATTTGCAGCCACTGCATTATATGAATAGTCGTGTTCTGCCTTTGTTTTATTTCATTCGTGGTGATTCAGATGTTCAGAAACCGAAATCATAAATCAGGAATAGGCCTACGGTGTATTTATGGCTGCCAGTCAAATCGCCCCAGCTACAAAATGCCCCAGCAGATTTGGTCAAAATTCCAGGATTGTTTTTGTCAAATTGCCCCAGGGGGTAATCAAAATGACCCAATTTATTTCAAATGATTACATATATGCCATATATGAATATTTTTTTGTCAACTTCGATATTATATTCTTCATATAATATCATGTAGTAATCTTTCTGATAAACTATGCATTTACGGCCAACAAACATATTATGCAAACATTTTATTTTATTCTTGTAATTCTTTACAAAAGCATTCATAACATGCAAATAATTGGTGTAATACAGTGTTGTCTAGAAATATTACTTTTGCTCTTATCAGTTTACTAACGGAACATTTATCAGAAATATTACTACATGATATTATATGAAGAATATGATGTCGAAGTTGACAAACACTATGCATTTACGGCCTCCCCTTTTGACAAGATTAATTAACAAAAGCTCTAGATTGTTTTGATAAGTATTATACATTACTTGTTGACATAAACTATGCATTTACGACCAATAAACATATTATACAAACATTTCATTTTATTCTTGTAATTCTAAAACCATTAATAATATGCACAATAATTGGTATTACAGTATTACAGGAATAATACTTTTGCTCTTATCAGTTTACTAATGGAACATTTATCAAAAATAATACTATAATATTATATGAAGAAAATAGCTTTACCTATTTACTACAGACGCAATGACATTAAACGCTCTACATTTCGTTTAATCAGTCGGTTTTGTGAATTTATTGTATGGGTTTAAATTATAATTCATAGATCAACTGACAACCATTACCAGTGTCTTAGTGTGAAACGTTTTATGGATGATAGTAGGCACCGTGACGTTCCATATACTTCCGGGGCTAATATCAACATTTGACAGCTCGGATGTAGCTGAAATATCGTAGCTGGAAAATTGTTCATGGCTGCACCAGATTGAATTTAATTGTGGCGAATTTCTCTGCATCTATCACACAAATCTGGCAACAGGGAGTATCATTCACGCTTAAATGGAGAGACAAAAGTCCAAGCAGAAGACTTGACGGTGAAGGATGGAAGGATGACTCGATGTTGTGGCTGTAGCCTGGGGGACACATGTCATCGGCAAGCTGTTAGTTGTTCGGGGTCATCTCACCACACAAGTACAATAACAGCAGCAAGCGCTACAATACGAACTTACATGTGGTGATTTTCCACAAATGGTGCACCGCTAAAAACTACACCACTGAAATTGTAGAGAGGAGTCGTCGAAAGGTAAACCCAAGTAGTCTGTCCAACAAGAACTGCAACCCATCTATACATGTATTCTACCACAATGTCACAAATCGCAGCCATAGTTGCAAAGGCAACCATTGTTGCAAAAGCTAATGTGCACAAAGAAGTACAGTGCAAATCACCTAACAGCACACAAACAACATTTGAGACTTCAAACCGATATGTCCAGTCATATTTATCATATGATTTGTTTTCTGCAATAGAAGAAGGATGTTTGACATCTGTTCGGAACTTGCTGTTGTCATATCCAGATTTGGATCTGAACTATCATATCAAAGATATTACTCCTCTATCCTTGACTCTCTACAAGCGACATTTTGACATATTTCATCTGTTTATGAGACATCATGAGAAGACAAAAAAAATGGACTTGAACATGAGCAGCAAAGACCACTTAGGTCGTGTTGAACCTCCAGTTGTGACGTCCTGTCGGATGCACTTCCTTGAGGGCGTCGTGACCCTGGTGTCACAGGGTGCAGATATTGATGCTGCAGACAACATGGGCCATACTGCATTGTGGGTAGCATCACGACAACAGATGCCAGATCTTGTACAGTATCTTATTGCTAATGGTGCTAGTGTTAACAAGATGGATAAATATAACTGTACACCCCTTCTTGCTGCATTTATGTACAGAGTGAGTTCAATAATACTCAAGACCCTGATTGTGCATGGCAGTAGTCTTGGTGGTGTAGGGCCCTACTGTCCTGCAGAACAGTCCCCCCTTGTTCTGGGCTGCCAAGCATGGGAATGTGGAAATAATCAAACTCGTGTTAATGGCTGGGGTATCACCTCCACAGATCCGTTCAGTGTATGGCGCTTCAAAACAGTGACATTGATGAAGATATTGTTGAACTCTTGGATACAGAATCCAAAACACCCCACTCCCTCCGTCATCAATGCAAATGTGTTCTTCGATCTCACATTATTAAACAATCTGATGGCAAGAACTTCTTGCAGAGTGTCGACAGTCTCCCACTGCCATCAAGTCTCAAACACTACCTGCTCCTCAACAGATGATGCACTGATACTTGGGAATCCACCTGTGCTATATGCTGTTGCATACCTGGAGATCCACCTGTGCTATATGCTGTTGCATACTTGGAGATCCACCTGTGCCACCTGTGTTGCAGACCTGGAGATCCACCTGTGCCAGATTCTATCGTCACCCAGTGCACAACTCTAACATAAATGTCAAAAAATGGAAAATTATTTTGTATAATCATAATCATTCATATTTTATAATCAAATATGTGATGTTAGCAAAGTTTGCTTAAGTGATGTAATGGCTGTGAGTGACTGTGAACACTTTGTGCTAGTGCTGTAGTGGCCTCCATTTATTGGTGGAACGGAAATCTTTGCACATCTCAATCATCTGTCAATGGCCATCATTACCATATCTGTTGTCATGACTACAAGCTGAATATTTTCAGATCTTTTCTTTCTTCATGTACTTAATATGCTCAACCACATGATACAAGAATTCATCTTTTATAGGCATTTAGAATTTATTTATGTGAAATATTAGCTTTGAAATGTCATGCGATTATTGAAACTCTTTTAAAGTGTATATGTCAAAGAGATTGTTTTCTATATTTTGTAGGTAATTGGTTATATTTGTACAATGTTAAATTGGGCTTCATGTTTAGTGTATCATTCAAACCTTTTGTCACAGAGGAAATTAACCTCAATGTTTGTGCAAATGGTTGTGTAATGCCTGTTCGTGATCTGGGAGATTTGTTGGTGTTTGAGTGTATGTGACAGTTCATCATTGTTGATGTTGTGCATGTTGTGTTCAGTCGCTCCGATGTCAACAGTCTCTCCATATCTTCCTGTCAGCACAAGTTAAATACGTTTGTGTTGATTCACACTTAGTGTGTTCACATGATCTGAAAGAGACATATTTCCACCATTAGTAACCCAGGTCCTGGCTCTTCCAGTTTACTTTCAGACAGGCCCATTCCTTTCCAGTGTTCAAAATTGGGGATATCCTACGTCCTTAAAAGTCTTCTCATGTCTAAAGACCCTCAAAATCTGTAACTTTAAGTATGTTAAGTTTTTACGTTCGGATAAGGACCCCATGACTTTCCACCTTGATTTCAAACACTACTTTCTTATCTGTGTTGGGCATGTACAGAACATGTCACTATATCAGGGGTGTTCAGCTGTAACATAGATAAGTGGAGTGAGTTGTCAGAGTGGGTGATAAACTGTGTGTTGTATGAGAGCTTCCTTCTTTATGTTGTAAAACTGTTCACTACCTGAACTACAAGGATGCTAATCTAAGACATTTTCTGAGGATCTCAACCTGTTTTTGTTTTAAATTTTCAAAACAATGGCTGCCAAGCTAGAACTATATCCAGAGGCCATATACTGATATGGTCTCTGCTATATCCAAACATGGTCAAAGTGGCTGAATGCTAGCTGTCATCGTCTGCCAGACGACCATTGTGTGTGGCATGTGTCTGGCGTTTCTCTTCATGTGAAGTCTCTGTTGGTATGATATTCCTGTTACCTATATTGACTTGTAGCAGAGGTTAAGGTTGATTTGAATGCTGAGGTTATTGATCATCTGGAGAAATGGCAGGATTGTGAAATATAGGGGACCTTTGTTGTTCATGACCGAGTGTAAAAGATATTTTAGGGACCATTGATCCAGGTTCTCTCTCAGCACTGCTTACAGATCTTGTTTTAGGGGCTTCCTCTTGCTATTGACTTTCAACCATCTGTGACATGGCAGCCATGAACATCTGCGACTTTGCATCTGTGATGATGGGTGAGGGAGTTATCACTGATGTTCCCATCTCTGTACACTCGGACCAGGGTGTATGCCTACCTGCCTGTTGAGGCTGTCTGGTCCTTTGATCATCGTTTAAATGTGATTTCCTTTTGTGTGTGAACCTTGGCAGCTGATTAGCGGTGAGAACATGATCTTACCTTCAAGATCATCACTGAGAATCTGTAACCTGCTATTGCTCTGACATACCTTCAGTGTACACCAGCATCTCGACTGAGACAGACTTCAGAACTGGTCATGATGTCAGCAAGGCTGGTATCGTCTATCATCTCATCAACAGGTCTTCCCAAATGTGGTGATTGACTCCTCAAGTTCCACTCATCTTGGTTGTACAATGTGTACAATTATATGTCACATTAGCAGTCCTTTGTGGGAATCTGGATTGTGCCAGATGATGAATGTTTGTTTTACTATCCATTGCAGACATTGTACAAGGCTTTTGTTATAGAGTACGACGTTGTTCACCAATATTTCACGAAATGTTGATTAACATGTATGGAAATAGTTTCCTTCTTTTGCCACTGAGGATGTTACAAAGTTGTGCAAGACTGTCTTTAGTTGCATTTTAGAAGTTGGGACATACAAAATTGAACAAACTTTATGAATAGCAACTTGTTTTATTTTGTAAGTGCAATGTTTTGACACATATTCTTGTACTATGTCAAGCACTCACGAAATAAAAGAAGTTCTTATCCATAGAGTATTCAGTATTGTGCGAAACTTGATCCCCAGTGACAGCCATGAGCCTGTTTGTTGGTCGATTGGTGTACTGTGTGTATTGATGTGTGTATTGATGTGTACTACTGTGTGTGTGCTGGTTCCTGCTGCTCCAGCTGATGCAAGGTCATCTCATATTGTCCAGGGGAGGAAAGGTCAAGGTCAGCTTGTATTGTTACTGAATAACAACAAAATCTGCTGCATTGTTTGCTTGTAAGTTTGGATTTAGTTCATACGTCATATTAATAGCTCACCGGGAAAACATAAACAATATCATATACTACTCAACATTTGAGAAAAACACTAGGTTATTTCATATTGTTATGTAACTGGAAGACAGCGTCTAGTCTACTTGAATTGTGTGCTTACTTTTGTTATATTTAAAAGAAGCTGAACTCACTCACCAATCAGCCAACCACTGTCATTCAGATCCCAGACTCATTCACTTTGTGAGTTTTATACATCAACTTCATAGAAAACCAACCCTGAAGTTACTTGAAAATTAGTTCAGTCTGTTAGTCCACAAACCTCTGGGGAAAGCACACAGATCAGGAGTATACAGTTATTTGCTGTTTGAGACTCAAATAATCAGGTTTTGATCGTATCACAAAACATGTAATGAGGACACAAGACGTTGTGGTTTCGTCATTCCATGACTGAGATGTCTTGTAGTGCCGCTGATCAAGACCCTCACTCTTCCATGTTTTTCTTGCCACAAGGGCCGAAGTATTGAAATCTCATCTTCTACTTTTGCAATATTTCTATAAAAGATTATTTCTATTTTTTAGATTTATCTTATCTTTGTTACTATGTTTTACCTAAAGTTGTGAATCTCTGTGTGTACTTGTCAGTGTCGGCATCATGCTCATAGTTTACTTCCTGTAGCGACATGGCGTAGATATTGCCAGTGTAATGTGTAACAGAATTTATTCAACTTATTCCTCGTGTGCTGAAAGATGAAATGAAGATGAAAGATGAAGTGATGAGAATAGATTGGCTGTTGATAGTGTACTACCAGCATAAAATGTTCTTTCCTTCAAACATATTTGTACAATGGTTTAGAGTTACATTGAGATTGGCTCTAAGTACCACTAGGAATCTTTTCATGTTAACATGTTGGACAGTCAAAAACAGATTGTACTGTTGAATTACAAACCTCTGTGTTCATGATCTGTATTTGTTGTTGCAAACTATGGAAATGTTGACTGGTAGTACAGGGTACAGGCGTGCTTCTTCCTAACTGGACATCCTAGCTGCATGGCTGTTGTTGGAACGTATTTCGCTGCAGGTGCTTGTATTGTCAGTTGTAACCATGGCAACGTGTGTAATCTGAGGTTCGTGTGAGGGATGTATCCCATGGTCTCCATCAACACAGGGTTTTGTGAGGTAGTCTATGTGCATGGTTTCCAGACGAACATTAATCTGATTCCTCCAACCCTAATCTGTTTTTCTCGATCTTTAAAATGTCAATCCTGGTAATCTGTATTTTATGCCGCCAAAATAAAAATGTTGCTCTTCAGAATAAATTTACCAGCCATTATCTTTTATTTGAAAAAAGGATTTTATTGATATACATGTAATGCAAATGACTATTTCCACCCCAAAATGTTTTTAAAAACACATCTTCAACTTGCCCTATTTTTAGCTGGTTTGGCACAATGGACATGGTCTACATGAACTGAAACTTGCAGGAAATTAATTAGAATTTGTTCTTTGGGAAAGTCTCTTTTATCTTGTCACCTGTTTACCAGCAGTCACTGAAAGGTGGATGTGTCGCATCATGAGCTGACCAGGTAGAGAATATATTCTTACCTTGATACTGATGTGTAGAGGTGCACCTTGCCAGGTACTTGTAACCATTTCAACACTGTCACATCACACAGCTATTCTAGTCGTATTAACTTTCCTCAAAATATTTTTACAAATAATGATCTGGAGGCTTTTGAGTAGTCTCCTCTTGATTGCCTCTCTTGGGTGCACTCGGTTGACTCCCCACAACTGTTTTGGCAAGTAGTGAAAGCGCATGGATCCACTGTAAACTACTGTGTCCCACTGCTTAGTGTGGGTAGAACATGACGGCTCTTTTTGAAGACGTTATGTCCTTAACAGAAACAAGGTTTACAATTTTCATATAGCAGACAAACAAAAATGGAGACAATTTGAAAAGTACAACAATGTTCACAAGTGTTCCAAGGTTGTGTCATGTGACAGTCATGTGTATGAAGGTGTTCCAGTATGGATTCAAGCCATTGTGGGATGTGACCGAACCGAGTCGAGTGTATGTCTGCGTGGCATGTGTGTGACATGTGTTTCTCTGTGTGACTTGTACTCCAGTTACCCTTGTATGGGCTGACAAATAACATGCTTCACTTGTTGACAAATATTTCCTAAATAAACTTGCTTTTTATTTAATGAAGTCCGTATTTGATTCTTGGTCTGATTTTTCTGCAGCACCTCAGGACTTCCATGCCCAGCAGTTGAGTGACTCTATGTACACCAAGACCTAGGAAGGTCCTCACAGCCATGTGCTGCTGTTATACGTCTGGATGCCGTCTGCTCACTAGAATGCTGGGATAGCCCAGTGTTACAGTGTTAGCTCTTCTCGGTAACTATCCAGGCGGTGTTACCCATGTGTACAATGAGTAATGCAAATTTATTCACGATGTTGATCACTGCATTGTCTGGTTCAGATTCAATTATTTACAGACTGATGTCATATAGCTGGAATATTGCTGAGTGTGGCTTTAACAACAAACATTAAAGAGAAATGTTTGGGGGGGGTTTGTTGCTTAAAAAACAAATTTTGCAAATCGTTAGACACTAACTGGAATAGTGTTATTTGTAAGACTATTCGGTGCCTTTGAATAGTCTCATTTGTTAAAACATGATATTCACAGATGTGAAAATGGAGAGAGAGAGCCAACATTCAGGTGGTGATACAGCACTAGAAAGTACAACAGCATGCAGACCTGATCTTGGCATCCATAGTTACTTTATCAAAATGAAATAAAACTAAACAGAAAAGAATTTTTAAGTGTGACAGTGACGATACCAGTACTTTGAACAGGTGATCAGTCCTTTGTACCAGTATCACTTCCTAAGGTCGCATCAGATGCACTTTCTAATCAACCAGTCAGTGTTGGCATCTAAATTCTCGGTATGAGTGAACTGGTATATTTCAGACTGGTATATTTGATTCAGAATAAACAAAGACAGGAAGCCTATGACATTGTGCAGAGATGCCAACCCATACGATTTTATCGTATTCATTACAAAAAAACAACACAAATTAAGCGACGATAGCAGTAAAAATATACAAATTTTAAAACAATAGATTAAATTAAATTATCAAAGAGCATACACACCATACACAATATATTTCAACCACATTTTATTCTGTATCAAGCTATATGTGGATACTTAGTACTGATTTAGGTGAGTACACTGTTATTAACAAGCTCTTGGAATATCTATATATTTTTATTAAATGAAACCCTTTGGAAAAGTTAATACTAATTTTTGCATCACGTTTTGGCAAAATACCAATTGGACTAAATTAGGGTTGGCATCTCTGCATTGTGGATGTGGAGTACAAGTGAATGCATCTTCACTAAACTGTGGCCATTGTTGAAGGTCTTGCAATAATGTATGTCTGGGAAACTGTATACCAAATACTTTTCTTACCATAAAGGTGATGTTGTTTCCAGAAGATTATATTGAGATCATACTGCTGTCATACAATGTTATCCAGTTAACACTCACTTATTTGATGACAATTTATTTCAGAGTTATTTCAGCTTGCACTGTGAATTTACTTGGTGTTTCTGGAGACAAGTCAGTCTGTTTTTCAGTCAGTAACAACAACAAACATATTTACAAATCATTTTATTCAAAAGTCCATCATAATACATACATACAGTCCTTTTGACTAAAAATAAATATGTACAACACATCACATGAATCATACAAATAGGCAAGATTATAATATATATAAATATTAATAAATATATTAGTCTTTTTAGATCCTCAAAGATACAATTTATGTGAAGTGATATTAGAGTTTGGGTTTCCTGTAACTGAAGTTTCAGAATAAATAACAGACCTGATCTGAGACAGGCAGGTTTGTCAGAGACATCCCATGTTGCCATGGTTTCAAAAGAACTACAAAATTAACAAATAGTCATAAAAAACACTGAGGCAATAAAATTATAAAATCATAGATTATAAAACACATTTACCAGCTATTGAGAACTCCCCGCCAAGCTCCACATCACTGTGGGCCACCCAGTTAACAAAATTATCTAGACATCCTTACCACTACACATAGCCCATAAACTTCAAATACTCAAGTTTGATGGATGCTGGAACTACAAGAGACATGATTTATACTTTAAAGCTTATTAAGACTGGTGACAGCCATGAGGGCAGGTATGGAACAAGGAAACACAATGAGGGAGAAGTTTGTATACCAACCTACTTTCATAGGTGGGTTTTTCCATGATTAAGTCATGCAAATTTGCACATGGCTGACTGGGCCACTCACCACCAAATTCTTGTTATTTAAGTTGTGGTTGTATCGCTTCAATTTCTGTCAGATAAATTAACAAGATCAGCCAAATGTCCTCTGCTGAGGTTTTGGTCTCTGAAAGTTGTTATCGGTTGTCGAGTGTTTTTGTGCATGTATTGTTTTAAGTACATATGTTGGACAAAATGTGAGCAATGGTTCCCATCAGATGCTGGGGCACCAGCTGGAATGACAGTCTGTCCAGTAAACTGAAGTACAACAAACGTCTAGTAACATCAACTTACAAAATCTACATCAGTAACAATATAACAGTGGAATGCTTTGAGTAGGAGCAGTGCTGACCAACACCCGAGTCCAACATGAGGAGGCTACTGCCTTCTATCTTACATCCACCAACACATGCCTTGCCGCAACTTACACACAGGCTATATCAGAAGCCAAGTCAATTCAAAAATAAATTTTCTTGCAAGAAACTTACCTACAATCTAACTAAGAAACCCAGCAAATAACCTTTTCTCAACTCACACCAAAATGATGAGCTGACAATGTTGGGAAGCACTGTTTGTCTTGTGTGAACCCAATACAGTATCTGAGCATGGCTTCGTCAGTGTGAATAAAATCCCAACACAGTTGAAGGTATGACGATGATCCATAACTTCACAGATAAAAGTATGATCATGACAATGATCTATAAACTTACAGATAAAGATGTGTAATGATCAATTAATTCACAGTTGAAGGAGGGTGATAATGGCCCATAACATCACAGTGGAAGGTATGTAATACAATACATATTGCCTTAAGCCTTATTGCAAGATGTCAGAGCATGTCATTGCTGTTACATTAACTGATGACCATGTGGGTGTGAAACAAGTGGCTTCCATCTCTGAATCAGAGGTATATCATCAAATTTGAAACCATTGACTGACAAATTAGTTTTGAAATCCTCCATACATAAGTGAAAACAATAGTGTAGATACAACTAATGCTATCTAAACTTGCAATTCCCAAATTGTACAAACTGAAACAATAACTGAAATATCTGAGGATATTATACACACAAAAATTGCAGATATTAATATGTTAACATTTGTGAACTATCACAGCTTTTGATATAGGTAAATTAAAAAAACAACATTTTCCTCAAAACAAAAGCCAAGACTAATGATGGGCACTGTGATGCAGGTTCGAATGTGTGGGACATAGATCATCAAGAAACAGTCATGTGATAACATGCAAGACAATACGTACAGTGGAAAGTCCAATGAACAATGAAAGAAGTGGTGCAAAGTGATACGCTGTACACCAGATCAACTCAACCCACATCGACCATGTTATTAACATACTCATCCAGTGATGCCACATAAAACTAAACTCACTCACTCACTCCACATAGTGATCAACTGATATAATAACTGAATGCTTTATTAACTAAGAATATAAAAATAGAATGGGAATTTCCAACAATAGTATTCCCCAAGCCTGAGCCAACAGGTGCCTCTGTTGTTGTTTTTTAAATCTCCCAATGTTATTGCAGCTAACACAGTTAGACATGATGAACCTGCTTTTGTCTCTTTGTTATTAATATAATATTGTAGAGTTTATTTGAGGTCAGCAGTTGTTCATATGGACCCAACAAAACGCGACATCAGCCTTGCATCATATTTCATAGCAGTCAACAGAAGCAAGGGCTTGTCATGTTTAAGTCATTTAATGGAGTCCAGAGTACATCATCCAAATTCTCCATGTTTGGAATGAGGGTAGTCACATTCAAGTGAAATCATGAAATCTTCCAGTTTTTTAACTTAATATTTGCTGTTTCAGGACACATATTCAACAAAATAACTCCACCTATATGATACATGACCAATGAGATTGTTCATACTAAAACCACTGCGTCTACTTAAGCAACTCCCCCCCATCACAAGATATTTTATGCATGACAATAAAATCAAACCTCTTTCATCATGCATTTGTATTGAATTTCAGATTGAGTTATCATACAGTTTGTTCTTTATTAAACACAAACTGGGAAAACAGTTGTAATATGGATATGATGGAATATATGAGGCAGTAGTTATGTATCATGTCATGGCTCTAACGTACCCAAGGTAACAATGTTTTATAACAGAAAGACACAGAGTTGTGAAGCTCACCTCAAATATTAAGAAATACTGGCAGCCAGTTTTAAGATCAGGTCAGAGGTCTGAGAGCAATGTTTCAAGACACAATAGCTGTGATCACTAAGTATCAGAAAGGGGTGAAAATAAACCAAGTATGCCAAAGTGGTATTCCATGTTATTCCGCATTCCACAAATTTACTCCGTTTCAAATGTCCTAATGACACTAATATAAATGACTAGTAATGGGTAAAAAAACCCATTTCAATATGGCCATGTTTACATCAGATCAGAATTCTTTGGCCTACTCTTACAGAAACCATAACAGCAATCATTCTTACTCCTTACACCCTGTATTTTCAGGAGAGTTGTAGAAAATGTTGAAGTTAACTATGAACAATAGACAGACAATAGACAACATGCCACGACATAAGCTCACTTGACTTTCAAACAAGTGAGAAAGGAATTGGTTTACAGATTCCAGAAACCGTAACCATGTGAAAAATTGACATAATAATCCAAAAGGCACAGTATTCTTCCATTACACACATACATGAAAAGTCTAAGTACCATTGCATTTATCTTATATATCTTTTAGGCTTTCCATCTTACACCGGTGGTTTTCACTAAATAGAAATAACTGTTACAGAGAGACCTTGGTCCACAGTCTGTTTCGGTGTTGACACTGCAGAGGGTTCCCACTGTGTAACTGAGGCAAGGTTTTTGTATAAACCTTTATTTAATAACTGACACACAGAAAATAAATTTGACAAAAGTGGCATGCTAACAACTGGAATCATAAAACAATTAGCAATTTACCCCTTTAAAACAATTTCATAAATTGAGGAAATAAAAGATTTCACCTAACTTCCTGTTCCAGTATTGTGATCCGTGTGGACTGTTTGACAGTAGACGCTGACGGCACAGACACAGGCAGTTTGTTCATCATAGGCAGACGTACAATACAGACATAAGCCTAGGTGCTAACATCTACATTACACTCGGCAACCAATATCTATCAGTATTATGAGATTCTAGTTGTCATCTGTCAGCGTTAGGAGATACTAATTCAATAAATAAACATCAACACATGAAAGATTTCAAATACTATACAACTCATAGAAGTCACAGAATATCACAACACCTGTTCTTTTACTTCTTTGAAGTATCATATAACCATGTTGTGACGTCTGCTTACAGTACAGCATGACGTCTGCTCTTGTAGAGGGGTGTCACGAGCTTGATTACTTCACAGAAAGATGGACATATATCCATACTGTTTCAGAATCACTGGCACAATAAGAAAACTGAAATGATTAGTTAAAAAACACTGCCTGCAGCCAGAGTTTGAGAAACCAGAGTCCTATGTTGGAAACCAAAGACATAGTGGATGTATATTATGGATACATCAGCTAATAAGATCAAGCATTATAAAGCATTTTAAAACCTGAAGAATGAATCCACCATATGTATGAAATTCAACTGGCGAAGAAAATACACCAGAAATCAAGTACTTTCAGTTTTGACTGTAAAATCACAGATAGGTTGAAAACTAGGCATTCCTATAGCACCACATCCACAGGGTCTATGGAGTCTCAATCTTGCGAAAATTTGACCGGAGACATAGAACATGCAGCAGATTGGTGAATTAAAACCACATATTGGTGAATTCGAAAAGGTGGCATATTGGGACATTTTAAATGATACTGCAGGAAAGCATCCATGGTATGTTCTTACAAGTAAAATATTTGTATCATGTTGTGATCCCTCATGACTGAGACTAACCTGGATAAAGTCAGCTCACAGTGCAAGTAGAAACATATGGCTTAAGAAAAGATGCAACTGACTGTTTCACATCAAAACTTGCAGATGAATGAAAAATGAAAGACTGGAGCTCAAGATTAAGAAGACGTAAGAATTGATCAGGCCTGTGAACAGTGCCTCCATACCATGACTGTAATGACATCTATACAAGGATGATATAAAAATACTCTCACATAATTGCACTTTGGTATGTGGTAAATGATGTGGTATGATGCTTAGACTATGTCCCGAGATGGAGCTACTGAAGTCTGTGTGTCTGCCGAGTTGTCGGTCTGTGTCTCCGCTGAGTTGTCTGTCTGTGTGTCCGCCGAGTTGGCTGTCGGTGTGTCCGCCGAGTTGGCTGTCTGTGTGTCTGCCAAGTTGGCTGCCGGTGTGTCTGCTGAGCTGGCTGTCTGTGTGTCTGCCGAGTTGGCTGTCTGTGTGTCTGCAGGATGGCTGGATTCGGAGAGATAACATTTTGAAGAATTGTCGTAGTACTGCTGGAAGATGCGTTCAGCTCGGCAGCACTCTACAGCATGGTAGGCATGGAGCAGGAGCTTGGGGAAGCGGGAGGTGAAGTAGTACACAAACTGGTCCGGCACACTGCCCAGCGATGCCTTCACAGCCTCTGGCAACTCTCGGTAATGGTGTTTCTGGAATTAAGGTAGACATATCGACAAGTGACTCAGTAAATGGTGGTAATGCAGCATTAGTCCAGCTATACTACAGTGGCCTCTGAACAATCTGGCCCTGTACACCACAGAATGACATTAGCAGCAATCCAGCCAACTAACAGACAAATCAAAGAACAGGACCAGACAAATTCAGTCGCCCCTTATGAACAGACCCCTTTGTGGTAATGGACATCGGTTCTAACACAAGCCACAACTGAATGTGAACATTGTTAATGAGAGGTTATCAGTGTCAGAGAAAATTTATCATCAGTTGAGTAGCACTTTTAGTTGAACAATAGTTGTGTCGAACCACTGTCTAAACATGGGTTGTGTAGACCGGTTGTCTGAACATGGGATGTGTAGACCGGTTGTTCAGACAGCTGGTCGACAAAACCCATGTATGGTCTACAAGACCCATGTTCAGACAACCGGTCTACAAAGCCCATGTTAAGACAACCGGTCGTCTACACAACCCAGTTGTCTGAGCATGGTTTGTGTAGACCGGTTGTTTAGACAGCTGGTCTACACAGCCCAGGTTTAGATGACCAGTCTACACAAACCATGTTTAGACAACGGGTCAACACATCCCATGTTCAGACAACTGGTCTACACAACCCATGTTAAGACAACCGGTTGTCTACACAACCCAGTTGTCTGAGCATGGTTTGTGTAGACCGGTTGTTTAGACAGCTGGTATACACAACCCAGGTTTAGATAATGGGTCAACACATTCCATGTTCAGACAACTGGGTTGTGTAGACGTCTGGTTGTCAAAACATGGGTTGTGTAGACTGGTTGTGTGAAAATGAGTTATGTAGACCCACATTCTAAACATGGGATGTGTAGACCCACTGTCTAAACATGATTTGTGTAGACCGGTTGTCTGAACATGATTTGTGTAGACCGGTTGTCTCAACATGATTTGTGTAGACCGGTTGTCTGAACATGATTTGTGTAGACCGGTTGTCTGAACATGATTTGTGTAGACCGGTTGTCTGAACATGATTTGTGTAGACCGGTTGTCTAATCATGATGTTTGTTTGTTGTTTAATGCCACACTCAGCAATATAACAGTAATCTGTAAATAATCGAGTCACCAGACAATCCAGTGATCAATATCATGAGCATCGATTGGCACACCCAATCAGATTAATTGCCTCTTATGACAAGCATAGGTTGCTGAAGACCAATTCTAACATGGATCTTCACAGGTTGACTATACATGGCTTGTGTAGACTTGTCATCTAAACATGGAATGTCTAGACCAGCTGTCTAAACATGGGTCGTGTAGGCCAGTTTTCTAAACAGTGGTTGCATAGACAGGTTGACAAATCTTGTACCCACATTCCAACTTAACTTCATCTGCCTCTTGATGGCTATTTCCAAGTTTATTCATCAGACTGAACCAACAAAATGTGAATCCAAAATGTAAATCAAGCTGAGGATCTTACCTTGTTTCTCATAGCTCGTAGCAAATCTCTCACAGAATGACCTTTGTATGATCGGAACTTCCTTAAATCTGAAATTATTACAGAAATCTTGCTATTGATGTTGACAAAACAAATCAGCAAATAACCTATCGTTGTTTACATTGTTTCTTACTGAACATCTAATCTGCAGCATTACAGTTATAGCTTGCAGGTCTGTAAATATTTATGTATGGACCAGATAATCAAGTGATTCATGTTGTAAACAGCGATCCATGCCTGTTAGGAACCATGTTACGCAATCAAAGAAACCATCTTATCTGACCACACTGTGTATTAGGTACATCTGAACAACAAACTAGGCTGTTCTTGATCAATCCGTATCCGGATTCCACAATGCAGCACAACCTCAGTCAACATCTGCACCTATGCTGGGATCACCAGTCAACATCTGCACCTATGCTGGGATCACCAGTCAACATCTGCACCTATGCTGGGATCACCAGTCAACATCTGCACCTATGCTGGGATCACCAGTCAACATCTGCACCTATGCTGGGATCACCAGTCAACATCTGCACCTATGCTGGGATCACCAGTCAACATCTGCACCTATGCTGGGATCACCAGTCCCATACTGATCCAATGTTACATGAAGTACCCACCATTCTGAAGTTCCTGTGTGATGTTGCGACGCCAATCCCACCTGACGATGACATGTGCATCCTTCTCTAACCTCTGCACAACCTCACTATCCTCCTTCTCTTTCTCAATGCGGTCACTGACGTCCTGCCAGAAAACAATTACAGGGTAAACACGTGGGACCAACAGGGCATGACAACATAACACATCTATACACTGGACATTGTCGGTCTCATCTCTGCAGAACAAAGAAGTTTTCTTCAGTATCCTAAAACCTATAACCCCATGCTTTATACACATCAAATACTTATTGCAGTCGTGAAAACTGAGTAGAGTTTCGTAGACAGAAGAACTCACCTGAAAGAACAGAAGCTGCTTCTCCCTACTCCAGAAGAATGGATGTTTGAGCACAGCTTGAGCGGAGGGACGTTGGTCGGGGTTGTAGGCGACCATACTTGTTATGAGGCTGAGGGATACATGGTCTGAAACAATTACATCATCCATTTTAATGGGCTGGATTTTTGTGCAATAAGCAGCACTTTACTGGCATGAGGTCAACATCAACATCAAGACTCTCAATACATAGCTCTGTGTTACCTTCTGGATCAAGATGCTGAAGAGAGAACTCCCCACTGAGAATGTTGGCCTGTCGTTTCAGGGAGTCGCCAAATGGGTGTTTGCCGTGAGTGCACACATAGTAGAACACACATCCCGCAGAGAAGATGTCCACTGCATAGGTCTACAAAACAGAGTAACCAGGGTGGGAGTTAGTATTGTGTCCACTGAATCCGTATCAGCATAAGTGTTTGACATGGCTGCAAATCTCCTCCATGTTAAGATTAAGGACAAGAATCACCAGCTTGATGCTAAAGTACAACTCTCTTAACTACATCCATAACACAAGTACTGCATGACACAAGTATAGCAAAGTACGACTCTCTTAACTACATCAATAACACAAGTACTGCATAACACAAGTACTGCATGATACAAATATAGCAAAGTAAGTCTCTCTTAACAAGGCTACATTCATAACACAAGTACTGCATGACACAAGTATAGCAAAGTAAGACTCTTAAGGCTACATTCATAACACAAGTACTGCATGACACAAGTATTGCAAAGTAACACTCTCTTAACAAGGTACATCCATAACACAAGTACTGCATGACACAAGTATTGCAAAGTAACACTCTCTTAACAAGGTACATCCATAACACAAGTACTGCATGACACAAGTATAGCAAAGTAAGACTCTTAACAAGGCTTTATTCATAACACAAGTACTGCATAACACATGCATGGCATGACACAAGTATAGCAAAGCAATTTTGGAAAATTTAATATAAATTGTATATTTATATACTTATCCTATCTCACGGTATGCACTTCTCTCTCTTGATTCGACACTGAGTTGAACGATGTAAACTTTTTTCCCTAGGCCTCTCTGGTCCATCCGCCCAAGCACTCCATGCTACCCTCATTATAAGACAGCTTTCTAGCTCTCATGCAAAACATGCGCATGCACCACTAGCTACCCACGTGACTATCTCCGAATCATCATTCTCATTCTTGGAGCGGCGGGAGGCAGATACCCTGTGTCTGGACAGTGCAAACAGCAGGAACTGTGTAGACTGGAAACGACCGTAAATAGCGATGCACAAGGGAGGCCTGTAACGCATGCACACAACTCCTATGCTTGTGCTGAGTTCTCCTGAACTCCCTGGCTTACTAAGAACGTCTCCCAGGGAGATGGGTGCTCCCGAGCGATGTGGTGTTTGTCCGCAACCTCCGAAGAAGGACGGAGCTTAGCGAGAAAGGATGTCACTTCGCCACGATTTTCAAGGTACCCCCGTAAATTAAAGTCAGTTGACAATAATCGGGCCAGACCCTGCTTCGAGAAGACCCCCACGGACACCGACCAGGGGCAGGTGAAAGAGAATCACAACTTGGGAACTCCAAGTTTTAACATTCAGTTCTGGGACAGCATCAAATTGACCCTCACTCCTTTGCATAAGTTTAGTCAAAAGATGTGCCTGGCAACTTTGGTGTCGGAACGCAATGAAATCCACTGGAATTTCGGGAGTGTCACACTTCACTGACATAATTGCTCTGTGGAGTAGAGGACAGTAAGCGTGACCGTATTCCGATGCCTTGGTATGGAAGCCAAGTGAAGTAGTTCTTTAACCCATAACTTGAGAACAATAATTGAGATCCTGTTCAACTTTGTTCCGTATGTAGAAAGAAGCAGTAACGTGCAAGTGGAACTGTCCCTCAACTGAGTTGGTGGGCTGATGTAAGCTGCCGAGGTCCGAACTAGTGTAGTCCCAGGGCATCTGTGACAGACAGGTCTCGCAGTTAATGTGAAGAGAAGACTATATCTGAACGCCAGAAGCAACCTTCCATGAGAGTGGTCAAGGAGCAGTAGCTATGGAAGGCCATCATGGAGGCTAATGCAGGAGTCTCATGAGGATTGGAGGCGCCAACCCTGCAAAGTGGAGGCTCACAGGATCGCACCACGCATTCAGAAAGCCAATGTGGCCCAGGAGACCTCAGTTCTTGAAGCGGCCGACAAGGGTATGAAGAGGCGCTTTCGTAGCCATCAATGATCCTTGGAGGCAGCCAGGTAGAGCCCTAACAGGGCAGAGTGTCAAATCTTCAGTATCATCAGGCCCAAAGATGGACAACGGGGTAATGGTAAACATCCGGTCCGGTTGCCCTGGCAGTTGGTTTTTCACGATGAAGTCCCAGTGGAGACCCAGGAAAAATACTTGCCATGCTTTTTCCGCTCGAACCGCACGCGATTGACAACAAGCGCGTGAAGCTCAGATATACGAGCAGCAGTAGCCATGCTACCAGGAAGAAGAATGTCACTTCACTCGAAGTCCCTGTCTTCTAAAGGTTTGTAGTCTGTAGAATCACATGACAAAGGACAACAGACAGTTCCCAGGCCAGAAGTCTGAACTTCCTGGACTGGTCGGTGAGTTGTAGAAGTGTAGAAAACTCTGTAATTCTGGAAGAGTGTAGATCTTCATACCCATGTTAGTAGCCAAAACCGAGTTGATAGCAGCCAGTTAGCTAGCTAACGTAGTACCCTTGAGTTCCCTAGTAGCACGGAGATGCTGCAGGAGTAGAGGCAGATTGGGAGATGGATTTCCCGAATGCTACAACAGCCTTCAAACTTCTTCCACTATCGTCGCAGAAAGAACGGCTCAAATTACAATGAACTGAAGCGATAGCATCTGTGGCTACTTGACGAGAGTAGCCTTAGCTATGAGTAATCTCTGGAGATGCGCCAAGGTGTAGATTAAGGGTCTGAGGGGACCAGGGGCGTAGTTCCGTGTGAGGGTGAAAAAGCAGGTTGCCCCGGTCGAGAAGCGGTACTGGGTTTGGCTCTGCCAGGCTTCTTAGGTCAACAAACCAACTTCTCGCTGGTAAGGGAGTGCTCGAACAAAAGCAGAAGAATCTTGCTGGTGGTCAACAGCTTCTGTATTACACATGAACACCAGAAATGGGCTTCAGACATTATACCCATGTGGGGATTCGAACCCAGGTCTTCGGCATGACGGGTTCAGGAAGATGAATCAGTTCCTGGTGATTGTCGGCCTGAAGGTACGGGCACAAAAAGTGCTGTAACGGCCGAAGCTGAACTCTGTACGTTAGGGCTTGATCTGACGTCAGAAAGCCTAGTAGCTCCTGCCACTGAGATAGCACTGGAGCAACACATCGCTAGGTCTTCATCCACCTGTCTTGAAGGGCGAACATCATCCCTTGACTGGTGTCAAACAATGGATCGATCAAGTGGGGTCTCTGGATCGATGTTAGTTTCGATTCCACAATGTACAATAGCCACCCTACCTGCCGGAGCCTCATGGTGGTGAACTGCAGTTGGCGAAGAAGTACGAAAGAATCCTGTTGTGCCTGGATGCAATCATCAATGTAGCTTCAAAGGTGAAGGCTAGTGTGGAGGTAAGGAGACCTAGCAACTCTTGTCACTGATGTAGGGATATCTCTCCTGAGATAGGAACGTTTAAACAGCCAAGCTACCATGGCAGCACTGACTGAGTGGTGAATGTAGTAGAGTCAGCGCATAGAGATTGTCAGTCAATCTACAGGATCGTTCACACTGTGCACGGAGTGATGAAGGTCATAAAATCGGTGATCTCAGGAATGTTTGTTCGCCAAATGAAGTATTGGTCCGCCAGATGGAGTGATAAAGTTAGTAGATTCGACGCATGGAGATCGTCGATCTACCGAAACATTCGTTAAGTTGCTGTAATGACGAAGGTAAATAAGCCCGGCAACGCTAGGGAAGGTTCGTCTGGGAGACGAAGGCAGTAAAATAGGTGCCTGGAGACCATGCGAGCAGAACTGCAGTGACCTCTGAACTGAGGGCTTGGGTTAAAGTTGAAAGCCGAGTAACTCTCGGTGAACTGTCTCGGCTGACTGACGAATCCCGACATAATCGGGAACGGCACTGTTCATCGTCACTGGCAATAAAAGGCTTGGATAGTTATCCGCTTGTAGGACCTAGACAAATCAGTCAGCGTACTTCATAGGGACTCTAAATATCATAATTCTCCGGTAAACAAGGGGAAGTCTGCCATTTGCAAATGGTACCCACAATGCAACAGTGAAAAAAATCCGGACAACACGGTCTTCGGTTAACTGGGCGAGGCACAACTCCATAACATCCTGGCAAAGGCATGACAGCTACCTGACAAGACATCAGTACTGGTACCATGCGCAGAAACTTGACCCATCTGTCCAGAAGCTTGCTGTTATGAGTAGTCTGTAGTAACAGGACTCAGTGAAGCGTTGGAAAAATTCCTGGATACCAAGCCTGTCTAGTAACGCACAGACGAGTGGTTGTGGAGCTGATATCTACGCCTAAGGGTAGATTCCTAAACCAAATCATTCATCAAGGTGAAGATCGGAAGGTAGATAAATCTGGAATGATATGAGCTCTGGTCACGTAGTCTAAGTCTGGGAGATCGGGGATCGTCAGAGCGTCAAGTGCCGAGAAATCTAGACGTCTGCCATACTGACATAGCTACTTCATCTGTTCAATCAGCAGAAAGGGTCTACCAGGTGGGATAAGTCATGTGACTAAAATCTTCTAGCACCTCACATGCCGTAGGGTAATCCGGAGAGGTCAAGTCGAACTCCATGGGGACGAATTCAGCGTATCACAAATGCCCTGAATATTAACATCGTGTTGAAAGCTGGTAGAGTATAATTAACAGCAGGTAAAATTGACCGTATCTAGATGCAAGGTCATGATCCTCGATGAGCATGTAAAAAAACAGTGTTGACAAGTTCTGATCCATCAAATTGAATGTAGTAAGTAGATTATCTGGTATCTTGCTCAAGATAGCTGTAGATGAGTGAGTAAGTGAGTATGATCTCACGCCGGATAGCTGTAGCTGTAACCAAGTGACCATGTGTGTGGAATGAACCAACATGATTGCTGTACCTTAAAGGCGGCATGGTTCAGCAATGCTGGCAGTTTGGTGAATGCTGATGGTTCGGCGAACGCTGTTGGATCGGCAAAAGCTGTTGGATCTGCGATCTGGCACGGTTCGATGACCAGGATCTGGCTCAGCGAGGTAAGGTCTGCAACGGTACTGTGACTTGGATGAGTTCGGTGACTGCTGATTCAATAAATGCTGGCTCAACTATCTCCGGTTTGAGGAAAGCCGGTGTGGTGAATTTTTGTTCGGTGAATGCCAATTAAGCAGATGCAGCCATGGTTCGTTGACGAATGCTAGTACGTTGAATGCGCATTCGGTACCTGTCGAGGGAGTAGACTGTTGCTGATTCCAAGCAGTAGTAATTAGCACTCAACATCGCAGCCAGATCTGGGGAAGGAGTAGTTTCCTGCGCAGGAGTCCAGGAATCTGGTACAATCCGAGAGACTAGACTAGAGAGACGCCAGAAGTCGTAGCACGCCGAGATCTATTATCGGAGCCCCGTTGAGTAGATCTCCTATCTGAAGAACCATATTGATGTCTGGAGGGGGATGAACCGGAAGAAGATGCACATATGGAGACCCAATGAGGAGATCGGGAACAAGGAGGGGAAGTATCATATGTACGGAGAATGATGATCCCTGGATCTTGAACGATAGGCAGCAGTTGCACGATGGAAGCGTTGCTTAGTTGAATGCAAACGAGTCGAAGAGTAGCGTCTCGGCAGTGAAGTAGACCTACTACGTCTATCAAGTGAACAAATCCGAAGAATAATAGGAGCCTGGTCCAAACGACTCGGTGAGGAGACTCGGTGATGACTGTAGGATCCAACCGAGTTCGGGGAAGTACACAGATGATGCGGAGAAGGGCGTTCCGTTGAATACCGCTTGGAAGAAAGCTGAATCAGCAAAAGTCGGTTCATCACATGCCGTTTCAGTGAAGTCTTCCATTTCGGCGAACATCGATCCGACGAAGTTTCGATTAGGTGAAGTCTGTTTAGAAGACGATCGATCCGGAGAATGCCGAAGCGTAGACTGGCCTTTCGATGAAGACCGATTCGGAGAAAACTGTTTCGTAGAGAGCCAGTCTAATTCTGGGGAAGGTGGACAGTCCGGCGAAAGTCAAGATGGAGGGGAGCAGACAAGCGAAGAGTGATCCGGCGAACTGTGATTCGATCTGGCAGGCCGAATGGGAAGGAGACGGCGAAGTAACCACTGAAAGGCGTTGAGGCGACTGGTTCCTCTCACTACTGGATGAACAACAAGAGCAAGAACGGCTTCTGCGCATGTGCTCTGCGCAGTCAGGCATACAGATCAGCTGATTCTTGTCCGAAACAGATAAGCCAGGTTGCCGAGATAACTGGTCCAGAGAATGAGAGACTGAGAGCGTAGTTCAAAGGTCCCGCTGTGTAGAGGTATCCTGAGGGGTGGTAGCAGAAAAACCTCTTCATTCGAGGTAGGGGAATGTGACCGATGAGCAGACAAAGTAGGACGCTAAAACACTGTATTGCACCGCAAACATGGCTGGTCAGCCTTCCCCATGTTGTAGACCAATGTTGAAAAACGTTGAGCAAAGCAAACACGTCCACACTCAGGTGCGACAAGAAAGACAATGATGATTTGGAGATAGTCATGTGGGCAGCTAGTGGTGCATGCTTTGCATGAGAGCTAGGAAGCTGTCTTATAATGAGGGTAGCATGGAGTGCTTGGGCAGATGGACAAGAGAGGCCTAGGAAAACAGTTTACATCGTTCCACTCAGTGTCGAATCAAGAGAGAGAAGTTCATACCGTGAGATAGGATAAGTTTACAAATTTAAAAGGTTCCCCAAAACATTTAGTAGTGAGCGTTGATGGTTGAGAGGGTACTGTAGCATTTGAGTCAGGATAGGAACAAATAGGGGTGTTGTTATACTTTCTTCCTTGTGCATATTTCCCATGCATGAAATGCAGCTACAAACTGTCTGTTGCAACCTAGCAAGATACACAAGGATATCATGACACATAGCATCATGTCACAAGCTGGTATACTTCCAATCTCTGAAGTGAAGAATAAATACTGTATGTTTCAACGTACTGTCCTCTGAAGTTCGTCCAGCATCTCGGGGGCGATCCATCCTTCTGTGCCTGCAGCTCCAGACCGGCGGGAGAAGGACAGTCGGCCTGCAGCCAGTTTCTTACACAGGCCGAAGTCGGAGATCATGGCGCGCACCTCTTTCTTGGAGTTGGGCAGTGAGATGAGGACATTGTGGGGCTTTATGTCGCGGTGGACTGACAACATGAAACACAATAGCTGGTATAGTCAACATTGTAGTTATATCAAAACAGGAAAGAATGGCGATAACAGGTCGGTGTTCAGTAAACAAACAACAATGACGTACTGACATCAATGGGGATTTTCAGAGGACATATTGTATGTTATGTGAGTGTTATATCAAGTGTTTACAGGGACTGTGATGTGCTGGTGACCATTTCTCTACACATACCTATATCTAAAGAATGAAGATGGGAGATGCCTGCCATCGACTGCTGAAGAACTGTCTTGGGGTCAAGGTCACAAATGTGTTTTCCTTCCACATAGTCCTGCACCGTGGCAGCACACAACTCCAGCGCGCGATGTAGCGGAACTGACTATCTGCCTCCTGCAACATCAAGAAATATATCAGCCTGCAGTAGGGTGTTGAGAGTCAGAGACCTCTGACAGATTGCGAGCTGTGACACCATCGAAATGGGAACTCAGATTGATTGTTGTGAGCATCATTGATCGAGCATTTCCCTCAAACAAAGACCACAAATAGGAATATCTGGAATTGGAACTGTTACAAATGTATTTTCAAGAAATGAAGTCTCCTAAACCATAAGACTATCAGTGTCCAAAATCAGATTCTGTCCTGTGATTCCAGTCACTCCTACAGAAATATTTATTCCCTCACCATGCAGAAATACCGGATAACATTTGGATGTTGGTCAGATTCCCGTAGTAACTCCACTTCGCGGTCAGCAAAACTGAAGCATTCTGGGAGTAACCTCTTCACTGCAACATCCCGACCATCAAATCGTCCCCTGTAACATTAGTAACACTGACCTGAATACAAATAACACTGACCTGAATACAAGTAACACTGACCTGAATACAAGTAACACTGACCTGAATACAAGTATCACTGAGTCTATGATGCAATGACCTATGGCACTAGTTCTGATGGAATAGGATGTGGAGCAGTAGCTCAGTTTAACAGCAGTTTCATTATAACAGATCATTCAGTGAATTAACCTGAACTGTTTCAGTCAACTCACCTGTAGACAAATGTTCCTTCACATCCATGACCCAAGATGTTCTTCGGGTTGAAAATAATCTTCCCCACTTTGTAGTGGCCCTGTGGGGGATCTGTAGAGAGAAGTGGATTTGTTGAATTACTGGCAGCTCTAAACCTGCGTTATGAAACTACCATGACTTTACAGCTGCAGATGGCCCTGATCTATTCAGTGATGGAACAGAGTGATATACAGAGATGGAACAACCCTTATCTACAGAGTGATATACAGAGATGGAACAATCCTGGTCTACAGAGTGATATACAGAGATGGAACAATCCTGGTCTACAGAGTGATATACAGAGATGGAACAACCGTTATCTACAGAGTGATAAACAGAGATGGAACAACCGTTATCTACAGAGTGATATACAGAGATGGAACAATCCTGGTCTACAGAGTGATATACAGAGATGGAACAATCCTGGTCTACAGAGTGATATACAGAGATGGAACAACCGTTATCTACAGAGTGATATACAGAGATGGAACAACCGTTATCTACAGAGTGATATACAGAGATGGAACAATCCTGGTCTACAGAGTGATATACAGTAATGGAACAACCGTTATCTACAGAGTGATATACAGAGATGGAACAATCCTGGTCTACAGAGTGATATACAGAGATGGAACAATCCTGGTCTACAGAGTGATATACAGAGATGGAGCAATCGCTATCTACAGAGTGATATACAGAGATGGAACAACCGTGATCTACAGAGTGATATACAGAGATGGAACAACCGTGATCTACAGAGTGATATACAGAGATGGAACAATCCTGGTCTACAGAAAGTTAAATAGTGATTGGACTTACTGTTCTCCTCATCAAGAGAGTTGTTGCTTGAGGTCGGCGTTAGTGATGTTTGTGCAGACCGTTGCTGCATCTGCAGCTGCCGTTGCTCCTCCAACTGCTTCTGCAGCAGCAGCTTAATGGAATCTTCAGCTTTCTACAAACACACACACATGGACTGTGAACACTATGCAGCGTTTCTTATTTAATGACACTTCAAATTTAATGGAATGGGGAATAATGAATAACAATGAAAACATTAAATTAAAGACATTAATTTACTCTAATCATCTCGAAGTTATTTTGAAGATACCATTAATTTTAATTAACATCATATTTTGGACAAAATCATCCCTTTGCAAAGTTTAAGCCTTCAGTAAGCCTAGATGATGTGGGTATGCGTGAGGTTGTCTCACCCGAGGGAAGTAGACAACGACGGCGATGATGGTGGCAAGAGACAGCACAATGGTTGTGAGGAACTTGAGGTCAATGTATGCAGCCAGACCTGAGTCTCCCGCAGATGTGGTGTTGGTCGTCTTGTCAGGTAATGGGGGTAAGGGTTCAAGGGAGATAATCTTGTCACTGTTGCTAGAGTGGTCTGTGATCTGGAAGGCTGGGGAGATGCGGGCATTGGTTCTGTCTGGCACTTCATGGTACCCTGCATGGAACACACACACTTCACTGAGAGGATATATAGTTGCATCAGATGTAATCAAAACAAAAATAAGGAATGTTTTTATTGTGATTAAAAAATGATTTTGAAATACCCATTTAGAGCCAGCATGCATGCCCTTCAGTAAATAGCAACATACCCAACATGAGTACCCCGCCTCCCCTCCGCACTGTAGTGGCACGGATACTCTGGGTGTTGGAGGTCTTGTCACCCTTTTGAGGATTTTCCTTTGGATTCTCTTCCTGTCTTGGACCTTCCAGGAGAAGTGGACCCTTGTTCTTCGGCTGTTCATAATAATAACAATAATGAGCATATGATGTTCTAACTCTATGCCCTATAGTATGCTCATAGTGGTACATTTCCCAGTCAGTGGATCAGTGTGCAGTCACTCCGCAGCTCGGGAGTCTAGTCTGATCTGTCCATGGGGCAGTAGAAGGTCAACAGTCACATCACCATCGGATCACTCGGGAGTCTACAGTCTGAGTCTGATCTGTCGATGAGGCAGTCTGATCAGTCGGATCACTCGGGAGTCTACAGTCTGATCTGTCCATGAGGCAGTAGAAGGTCAACAGTCACATCACCATCGGATCACTCAAGAGTCTAGTCTGAGTCCATGAGGCAGTCAACAGTCACATCACCATCGATCTGTCCAGTCTGATCTGTCCATGAGGCAGTAGAAGGTCAACAGTCACATCACCATCGGATCACTCGGGAGTCTACAGTCTGATCTGTCCATGAGGCAGTAGAAGGTCAACAGTCACATCACCATCGGATCACTCAAGAGTCTACAGTCTGATCTGTCCATGAGGCAGTAGAAGGTCAACAGTCACATCACCATCGGATCACTCAAGAGTCTACAGTCTGATCTGTCCATGAGGCAGTAGAAGGTCAGCAGTCACATCACCATCGGATCACTCGGGAGTCTACAGTCTGATCTGTCCATGAGGCAGTAGAAGGTCAACAGTCACATCACCATCAGTGATGGGAGGAATGCCTACAGCACTGTAGGTCTCTTATGCTTTACCCACAAGCAAAACATTCAGGGAAAATCTTGCATTTAAACCCAAAGCTTATTTACAAATGTGAGACACATGATCCCCAATGTGCATGAGACTTCAAACTCACCGCGATGGTGACAGTAGTTTCATCCACGAGTGAGGCAAGAGCGTAGGGTCCATGTTCATACTCCCCTACATACAGAGTGGGACTGAAAGAAAAACACACAATCTACAATACACGAGTGAGGCGAGAGTGTAGGGTCCATGTTCATACTCCCCGACATACAGAGTGGGACTGAAAGAAAAACACACAATCTACAATACATGACGAGGAAGCGTAGGGCGAGTAGGCGTAGGAGTCCATGTTCATACTCCCCTACATACAGAGTGAGACTGAAAGAAAAACACACAATCTACAATACACGAGTGAGGCGAGACGTAGGGTCCATGTTCATACTCCCCTACATACAGAGTGGGACTGAAAGAAAAACACACAATCTACAATACACGAGCGAGGCAAGGCGTGAGGGTCCATGTTCATACTCCCCTACATACAGAGTGGGACTGAAAGAAAAACACACAATCTACAATACACGAGTGAGGCGAGAGTGTAGGGTCCATGTTCATACTCCCCTACATACAGAGTGGGACTGAAAGAAAAACACACAATCTACAATACACGAGCGAGGCGAGAGCGTAGGGTCCATGTTCATACTCCCCTACATACAGAGTGGGACTGAAAGAAAAACACACAATCTACAATACATGAGTGAGGCGAGAGCGTAGGGTCCATGTTCATACTCCCCTACATACAGAGTGGGACTGAAAGAAAAACACACAATCAACAATACACGAGCGAGGCGAGAGCGTAGGGTCCATGTTCATACTCCCCTACATACAGAGTGGGACTGAAAGAAAAACACACAATCTACAATACATGAGTGAGGCGAGAGCGTAGGGTCCATGTTCATACTCCCCTACATACAGAGTGGGACTGAAAGAAAAACACACAATCAACAATACATGAGTGAGGTGAGAACGTAGGGTCCATGTTCATACTCCCCTACATACAGAGTGGGACTGAAAGTAAAACACACAATCAACAATCTCACTGACCACCAAAGTATTGCTTACAGAGGTCCTTGCTACCAGACCAGAGAAGCATTGCATACAAAAGGAATTGCTTGTTAGGACACTAACTACCTATAAGAAATGAATTTACACTGAATGAGAATGAAGAGCTTTCAACTGATATACAGCAATTTCAGCCTTATTTCAGGGAACACAGGATTGAATGCTGGAATGTTGTATACAAGATGATAAAAGGGCTGAGGGAAGCACCTGCATATAAACTGTCCTCAAGTACTCACTAGAAGGATTTCTTCTGTCCATGTGCAAGGAATCGGTCCCGCCAAACATACTCCACAAGCTGCCCTGTGAGGTGGTCCAGTGTCTCAGGGGCAAAGCTGGTGAAGGGTATCTTCTGTAGTCCCTCCTGGTGGAGTCGGTACATTGCCACGATCGGGGAGTCATACTCACGCTGCCACAAAATATCACCTGGACAAAGAAAAGGGACGGGAAGTCTAGAAATGACAAAACAGTTGAAAGTTGGTTTTATAGTGTTAGCCTACCTAGATACAATGCTGTAGTTCCTAGATACAATCCTGTAGTGTAATAAGGATAACCCACTCAGACAGATCATGCTGAGTCTAAGCTATCCAGTCCTTGTGTTATCCTCTTAGTATTGAGAGCCAGAAATGGTAACAAGACCCATCTTCTAGAAGCTTCCATGTACTGCAGCCAGTTAACTGACCCATATACTCCAACATGCCTGTGTGAACTCTTACCTCAAATCCAGGCACACAAGAAACTACATTCAGACCTAGTCAAGAAGTGAAACAAGAGCTTCCCACACCATCCTCTGCCCCCTTGGACTTATAGGTCCCCCAAGAATTACGATGACATGTGTCATGACATTGTATCCACCTGCAGTGTTTCTTGGTGAGCAGCAACCTCAACATCCTCAAGTTTTTATGTAGGCACTTAAATCAAAAGTTTCTTCTTTTACAAACATTTTACACACAACCGATTTTCTGATTCTGCTCCAACCTACCTGATCTGCTATCGAGAGTCACAGAGAGACCATTGGAACTTGCGGTGAGGTGCTGCATATCTAACAGTTACACAAATTGAGGATGTCTTGGCCATCAATTTGCCTAACATTATTGAGATAAAAATATGACAGTTACATAATGTCTGAGGTCAGCCGCATTGACATTATGACAAAATGATATGACAGTTACATAATGTCTCGAGTCAGCCGCCACATTGAGACAAAATATGACAGTTACATAATGTCTCGAGTCAGCCGCAACACTGAGACAAAATATGAGACAAAATATGACAGTTACATAATGTCTCGAGTCAGCCGCCACACGGAGACAAAATATGACAGTTACATAATGTCTCGAGTCAGCCGCCACACAGAGACAAAATATGACAGTTACATAATGTCTCGAGTCAGCCGCAACATTGAGACAAAATATGACAGTTACATAATGTCTCAAGTCAGACAGCAACATTGAGACAAAATATGACAGTTACATAATGTCTCGAGTCAGCCTCAACATTGAGACAAAATATGACAGTTACATAATGTCTCGAATGTCTCGTCAGCCGCACAGACAAAATATGACAAAATATGACAGCCAGTTACATACATGTCTCGAGTCAGCCTCAACATTGAGACAAAATATGACAGTTACATAATGTCTCGAGTCAGACGCAACATTGAGACAAAATATGACAGTTACATAATGTCTCTAGTCAGCCTCAACATTGAGACAAAATATGACAGTTACATAATGTCTCCAGTCAGCCGCAACACTGAGACAAAATATGACAGTTACATAATGTCTCGAGTCAGCCGCAACACTGAGACAAAATATGACAGTTACATAATGTCTCGAGTCAGCGCAACACTGAGACAAAATATGACAGTTACATAAATAGTCTCTAGTCAGGCATCACCTCAGACAAAATATGACAGTTACATAATGTCTCGAGACAGCCACACACACATTGAGACAAAATATGACAGTTACATAATGTCTCAAGTCAGGCACCATGAGAGAAAAATAAGACAGTTACCATAATCAAAACAATGGCCAAGATTAGTGAAGGTACAACCTACAAGGCTAGGCCATTGACAAAGATTAATGAAGGTACAACCTATAAGACTACAACATGGTCAAAGATAAGTAAAAGGTTCAACCTTTGTGGTTGAACCACTGGTGGTGTGTGGTCCTGTGCATAGAGCTCAGGTCACAAATCAGTTGAAGTTAAGCAACATTGGGTGCGGAGAGTCCTTGCATGGGTGACCGTGTTTGGCAAATTGACTCCTGAGAGTTTCCATGACTTCAGTCTTTCCCACAACAAAGCACATGTGACACATGTGGTTTTACCTTAGGCAAGTGAGTTTGTTAAAAATTGCCTCTGTCCACCCAGCAGAATATGGGTACCTGGTGGGATAAGTCATGTGACTATAACCTTTCAGCACCTCACAGGCAGCTTGGCTTATCCAGGGTAATAATGGACTGTGGAACTATGTTAGTGATTTGAGCAGACTTTCGTGTGGAGTTTAATGCGATATAAGAATCCATATTATCATTATTATTATGATCAACCTAAAAAGCTACAACATTGTCAAGTGAAGGCTCAAGCTACAAGGTTACAGCATGGCCAAGGATTAGTGAAGGTTCAAGCTACAAGGTTACAGCATGGCCAAGGATTAGTGAAGGTTCAAGCTACAAGCTTACAGCTAAGGATTAGTGAAGGTTCAAGCTACAAGGTTACAGCTAAGGATTAGTGAAGGTTCAAGCTACAAGGTTACAGCATGGCCAAGGATTAGTGAAGGTTCAAGCTACACGGTTACAGCATGGCCAAGGATTAGTGAAGGTTCAAGCTACAAGGTTACAGCATGGCCAAGGATTAGTGAAGGTTCAAGCTACAAGGTTACAGCATGGCCAAGGATTAGTGAAGGTTCAAGCTACAAGGTTACAGCATGGCCAAGGTTCAAGCTACAAGGTTACACAGCTAAGGATTAGTGAAGGTTCAAGCTAAAAGGTTACAGCTAAGGATTAGTGAAGGTTCAAGCTACAAGGTTACAGCATGGCCAAGGTTCAAGCTACAAGGTTACACAGCTAAGGATTAGTGAAGGTTCAAGCTAAAAGGTTACAGCTAAGGATTAGTGAAGGTTCAAGCTACAAGGTTACAGCATGGCCAAGGATTAGTGAAGGTTCAAGCTACAACAGTATACAGCTAAGATTAGTGAAGGTTCAAGCTACACGGTTACAGTATGGCCAAGGATTAGTGAAGGTTCAAGCTACAAGGTTACAGCATGGCCAAGGATTAGTGAAGGTTCAAGCTACAAGGTTACAGCATGGCCAAGGATTAGTGAAGGTTCAAGCTACAAGGTTACAGCATGGCCAAGGATTAGTGAAGGTTCAAGCTACAAGGTTACAGCATGGCCAAGGATTAGTGAAGGTTCAAGCTACAAGGTTACAGCATGGCCAAGGATTAGTGAAGGTTCAAGCTACAAGGTTACAGCATGGCCAAGGATTAGTGAAGGTTCAAGCTACAAGGTTACAGCATGGCCAAGGATTAGTGAAGGTTCAAGCTACAAGGTTACAGCATGGCCAAGGATTAGTGAAGGTTCAAGCTACAAGGTTACAGCATGGCCAAGGATTAGTGAGGGTTCAAGCTACAAGGTTACAGCATGGCCAAGGTTCAAGCTACAAGGTTACAGCATGGCCAAGGATTAGTGAAGGTTCAAGCTACACGGTTACAGCATGGCCAAGGTTCAAGCTACAAGGTTACACAGCTAAGGATTAGTGTTGGTTCAAGCTACACGGTTACAGTATGGCCAAGGATTAGTGAAGGTTCAAGCTACAAGGTTACAGCTAAGGATTAGTGAAGGTTCAAGCTACAAGGTTACAGCATGGCCAAGAATTAGTGAAGGTTCAAGCTAAAAGGTTACAGCTAAGGATTAGTGAAGGTTCAAGCTACAAGGTTACAGCTAAGGATTAGTGAAGGTTCAAGCTACAAGGTTACAGCATGGCCAAGAATTAGTGAAGGTTCAAGCTAAAAGGTTACAGCTAAGGATTAGTGAAGGTTCAAGCTACAAGGTTACAGCATGGCCAAGGATTAGTGTTGGTTCAAGCTACACGGTTACAGCATGGCCAAGGTTCAAGCTACAAGGTTACACAGCTAAGGATTAGTGTTGGTTCAAGCTACACGGTTACAGTATGGCCAAGGATTAGTGAAGGTTCAAGCTACAAGGTTACAGCATGGCCAAGGATTAGTGAAGGTTCAAGCTACACGGTTACAGCATGGCCAAGGTTCAAGCTACAAGGTTACACAGCTAAGGATTAGTGAGGGTTCAAGCTACAAGGTTACAGCATGGCCAAGGATTTGTGAAGGTTCAAGCTACACGGTTACACAGCTAAGGAATAGTGAGGGTTCAAGCTACACGGTTACAGCATGGCCAAGGATTAGTGAAGGTTCAAGCTACAAGGTTACAGCATGGCCAAGGATTAGTGAAGGTTCAAGCTACAAGCTTACAGCATGGCCAAGGATTAGTGAAGGTTCAAGTTACAAGGTTACAGCATGGCCAAGGTTCAAGCTACAAGCTTACAGCATGGCCAAGGATTAGTGAAGGTTCAAGCTACAAGGTTACAGCATGGCCAAGGTTCAAGCTAAAAGGTTACAGCTAAGAATTAGTGAGGGTTCAAGCTACAAGGTTACAGCTAAGGATTAGTGAGGGTTCAAGCTACAAGGTTACAGCATGGCCAAGGATTAGTGAAGGTTCAAGCTACACGGTTACAGCATGGCCAAGGTTCAAGCTACAAGGTTACAGCATGGCCAAGGATTAGTGAAGGTTCAAGCTACAAGGTTACAGCATGGCCAAGGTTCAAGCTACAAGGTTACAGCATGGCCAAGGATTAGTGAAGGTTCAAGCTACAAGGTTACAGCATGGCCAAGGATTAGTGAAGGTTCAAGCTACAAGGTTACAGCATGGCCAAGGATTAGTGAAGGTTCAAGCTACAAGCTTACAGCATGGCCAAGGATTAGTGAAGGTTCAAGCTACAAGGTTACAGCATGACCAAGGTTCAAGCTAAAAGGTTACAGCTAAGAATTAGTGAGGGTTCAAGCTACAAGGTTACAGCTAAGGATTAGTGAGGGTTCAAGCTACAAGGTTACAGCATGGCCAAGGATTAGTGAGGGTTCAAGCTACAAGGTTACAGCATGGCCAAGGATTAGTGAAGGTTCAAGCTACAAGGTTACAGCATGGCTAAGGATTAGTGAAGGTTCAAGTTACAAGGTTACAGCATGGCCAAGGATTAGTGAAGGTTCAAGCTACAAGGTTACAGCATGGCCAAGGATTAGTGAAGGTTCAAGCTACAAGGTTACAGCATGGCCAAGGATTAGTGAAGGTTCAAGTTACAAGGTTACAGCATGGCCAAGGATTAGTGAAGGTTCAAGTTACAAGGTTACAGCTAAGGATTAGTGAGGGTTCAAGCTACAAGGTTACAGCATGGCCAAGAATTAGTGAGGGTTCAAGCTACAAGGTTACAGCATGGCCAAGGTTCAAGCTACAAGGTTACACAGCTAAGGATTAGTGAGGGTTCAAGTTACAAGGTTACAGCATGGCCAAGGTTCAAGCTACAAGGTTACAGCATGGCCAAGGATTAGTGAAGGTTCAAGCGACAAGGTTACAGCATGGCCAAGGATTAGTTTTCCAAGCCTGACTATCTCTCTGCCAGTGAAGTGTGTGTATTACCACTGCAGAACTTTGTGAACATATCTACAAATTTTAAGTAAAAAAACTACATACCTCTTTAGCCTCGTCTTGCTGTCAAACATCAAAATTGTATATTCTGAAAGAAATGGGAAGTAGATATTAACAAATACACAAATACTATAACTATAGACAAATTTGGTAAATAATCGTATTGGAAAACTAACAGAATTAATATTGAAATATCTCACAGTATCTTAGATTATTCGATAACTAACAGTATCTTAACAGAGGGTCAGGATAACTAACAGTATCTTAACAGAGGGTCAGGATAACTAACAGTATCTTAACAGAGGGTCAGGATAACTAACAGTATCTTAGAGAGTCAGCATAACTAACAGTATCTTAGAGGATCAGGATAACTAACAGTATCTTAGAGGGTCAGGATAACTAACAGTATCTTAGAGGGTCAGGATATCTAACAGTATCTTAGAGGGTCAGGATAACTAAAAGTATCTTAGAGGGTCAGGATAACTAACAGTATCTTAGAGAGTCAGGATAACTAACAGTATCTTAGAGAGTCAGGATAACTAACAGTATCTTAGAGGGTCAGGATAACTAACAGTATCTTGGAGGGTCAGGATAACTAACAGTATCTTAGAGAGTCAGGATAACTAACAGTATCTTAGAGGGTCAGGATAACTAACAGTATCTTAGAGGGTCAGGATAACAAACAGTATCTTAGAGAGTCAGGATAACTAACAGTATCTTGGAGGGTCAGGATAACTAACAGTATCTTAGAGAGTCAGGATAACTAACAGTATCTTGGAGGGTCAGGATAACTAACAGTATCTTAGAGGATCAGGATAACTAACAGTATCTTAGAGAGTCAGGATAACTAACAGTATCTTAGAGAGTCAGGATAACTAACAGTATCTTAGAGGGTCAGGATAACTAACAGTATCTTAGAGGGTCAGGATAACTAACAGTATCTTAGAGGGTCAGGATAACTAACAGTATCTTAGAGAGTCAGGATAACTAACAGTATCTTAGAGGATCAGGATAACTAACAGTATCTTAGAGGGTCAGGATAACTAACAGTATCTTAGAGGGTCAGGATAACTAACAGTATCTTAGAGAGTCAGGATAACTAACAGTATCTTAGAGGGTCAGGATAACTAACAGTATCTTAGAGAGTCAGGATAACTAACAGTATATTAGAGAGTCAGGATAACTAACAGTATCTTAGAGAGTCAGGATAACTAACAGTATCTTAGAGGGTCAGGATAACTAACAGTATCTTAGAGAGTCAGGATAACTAACAGTATATTAGAGAGTCAGGATAACTAACAGTATCTTAGAGAGTCAGGATAACTAACAGTATCTTAGAGGGTCAGGATAACTAACAGTATCTTAGAGGGTCAGGATAACTAACAGTATCTTAGAGGGTCAGGATAACTAACAGTATCTTAGAGGGTCAGGATAACTAACAGTATCTTAGAGAGTCAGGATAACTAACAGTATCTTAGAGAGTCAGGATAACTAACAGTATCTTAGAGAGTCAGGATAACTAACAGTATCTTAGAGGGTCAGGATAACTAACAGTATCTTAGAGAGTCAGGATAACTAACAGTATCTTAGAGGGTCAGGATAACTAACAGTATCTTAGAGAGTCAGGATAACTAACAGTATCTTAGAGGGTCAGGATAACTAACAGTATCTTAGAGAGTCAGGATAACTAACAGTATCTTAGAGGGTCAGGATAACTAACAGTATCTTAGAGAGTCAGGATAACTAACAGTATCTTAGAGAGTCAGGATAACTAACAGTATCTTAGAGGGTCAGGATAACTAACAGTATCTTAGAGGGTCAGGATAACTAACAGTATCTTAGAGGGTCAGGATAACTAACAGTATCTTAGAGAGTCAGGATAACTAACAGTATCTTAGAGTCAGGATCAGGATAACTAGGACAGTATCTTAGAGAGTCAGGATAACTAACAGTATCTTAGAGGGTCAGGATAACTAACAGTATCTTAGAGAGTCAGGATAACTAACAGTATCTTAGAGAGTCAGGATAACTAACAGTATCTTAGAGAGTCAGGATAACTAACAGTATCTTAGAGAGTCAGGATAACTAACAGTATCTTAGAGAGTCAGGATAACTAACAGTATCTTAGAGAGTCAGGATAACTAACAGTATCTTAGAGAGTCAGGATAACTAACAGTATCTTAGAGAGTCAGGATAACTAACAGTATCTTAGAGAGTCAGGATAACTAGAGAGTCAGGATAACTAACAGTATCTTAGAGAGTCAGGATAACTAACAGTATCTTAGAGAGTCAGGATAACTAACAGTATCTTAGAGGTCAGGATAACTAACAGTATCTTAGAGAGTCAGATAACTAACAGTATCTTAGAGAGTCAGGATAACTAACAGTATCTTAGAGGGTCAGGATAACTAACAGTATCTTAGAGAGTCAGGATAACTAACAGTATCTTAGAGAGTCAGGATAACTAACAGTATCTTAGAGAGTCAGGATAACTAACAGTATCTTGAGAGAGTCAGGATAACTAGTATCTTAGTCAGGATAACTAACAGTATCTTAGAGGTCAGGATAACTAACAGTATCTTAGAGTCAGGATAACTAACAGTATCTTAGAGAGGTCAGGATAACTAACAGTATCTTAGAGAGTCAGGATAACTAACAGTATCTTAGAGGGTCAGGATAACTAACAGTATCTTAGAGAGTCAGGATAACTAACAGTATCTTAGAGAGTCAGGATAACTAACAGTATCTTAGAGGGTCAGGATAACTAACAGTATCTTAGAGTCAGGATAACTAACAGTATCTTAGAGGGTCAGGATAACTAACAGTATCTTAGAGGGTCAGGATAACTAACAGTATCTTAGAGGGTCAGGATAACTAACAGTATCTTAGAGGGTCAGGATAACTAACAGTATCTTAGAGGGTCAGGATAACTAACAGTATCTTAGAGGGTCAGGATAACTAACAGTATCTTAGAGAGTCAGGATAACTAACAGTATCTTAGAGAGTCAGGATAACTAGGACAGTATCTTAGAGAGTCAGGATAACTAACAGTATCTTAGAGGGTCAGGATAACTAACAGTATCTTAGAGGGTCAGGATAACTAACAGTATCTTAGAGGGTCAGGATAACTAACAGTATCTTAGAGAGTCAGGATAACTAACAGTATCTTAGAGAGGTCAGGATAACTAACAGTATCTTAGAGGGTCAGGATAACTAACAGTATCTTAGAGGGTCAGGATAACTAACAGTATCTTAGAGGGTCAGGATAACTAACAGTATCTTAGAGAGTCAGGATAACTAACAGTATCTTAGAGAGTCAGGATAACTAACAGTATCTTAGAGGGTCAGGATAACTAACAGTATCTTAGAGAGTCAGGATAACTAACAGTATCTTAGAGAGTCAGGATAACTAACAGTATCTTAGAGAGTCAGGATAACTAACAGTATCTTAGAGAGTCAGGATAACTAACAGTATCTTAGAGAGTCAGGATAACTAACAGTATCTTAGAGAGTCAGGATAACTAACAGTATCTTAGAGAGTCAGGATAACTAACAGTATCTTAGAGAGTCAGGATAACTAACAGTATCTTAGAGAGTCAGGATAACTAACAGTATCTTAGAGTCAGTCAGGAGTATAACTAACAGTATCTTAGAGAGTCAGGATAACTAACAGTATCTTAGAGGGTCAGGATAACTAACAGTATCTTAGAGGGTCAGGATAACTAACAGTATCTTAGAGGGTCAGGATAACTAACAGTATCTTAGAGGGTCAGGATAACTAACAGTATCTTGGAGGGTCAGGATAACTAACAGTATCTTAGAGGGTCAGGATAACTAACAGTATCTTAGAGGGTCAGGATAACTAACAGTATCTTAGAGGGTCAGGATAACTAACAGTATCTTAGAGGGTCAGGATAACTAACAGTATCTTAGAGGGTCAGGATAACTAACAGTATCTTAGAGAGTCAGGATAACTAACAGTATCTTAGAGAGTCAGGATAACTAACAGTATCTTAGAGAGTCAGGATAACTAACAGTATCTTAGAGAGTCAGGATAACTAACAGTATCTTAGAGGGTCAGGATAACTAACAGTATCTTAGAGGGTCAGGATAACTAACAGTATCTTAGAGGGTCAGGATAACTAACAGTATCTTAGAGAGTCAGGATAACTAACAGTATCTTAGAGGGTCAGGATAACTAACAGTATCTTAGAGGGTCAGGATAACTAACAGTATCTTAGAGAGTCAGGATAACTAACAGTATCTTAGAGGGTCAGGATAACTAACAGTATCTTAGAGGTCAGGATAACTAACAGTATCTTAGAGAGTCAGGATAACTAACAGTATCTTAGAGGGTCAGGATAACTAACAGTATCTTAGAGGGTCAGGATAACTAACAGTATCTTAGAGAGTCAGGATAACTAACAGTATCTTAGAGAGTCAGGATAACTAACAGTATCTTAGAGGGTCAGGATAACTAACAGTATCTTAGAGGGTCAGGATAACTAACAGTATCTTAGAGGGTCAGGATAACTAACAGTATCTTAGAGGGTCAGGTCAGGATAACTAAACAGTATCTTAGAGGGTCAGGATAACTAACAGTATCTTAGAGGTCAGGATAACTAACAGTATCTTAGAGGGTCAGGATAACTAACAGTATCTTAGAGGGTCAGGATAACTAACAGTATCTTAGAGGGTCAGGATAACTAACAGTATCTTAGAGGGTCAGGATAACTAACAGTATCTTAGAGGGTCAGGATAACTAACAGTATCTTAGAGGGTCAGGATAACTAACAGTATCTTAGAGGGTCAGGATAACTAACTTAGAGTATCTTAGAGGGTCAGGATAACTAACAGTATCTTAGAGGGTCAGGATAACTAACAGTATCTTAGAGGGTCAGGATAACTAACAGTATCTTAGAGAGTCAGGATAACTAACAGTATCTTAGAGGGTCAGGATAACTAACAGTATCTTAGAGGGTCAGGATAACTAACAGTATCTTAGAGGGTCAGGATAACTAACAGTATCTTAGAGGGTCAGGATAACTAACAGTATCTTAGAGGGTCAGGATAACTAACAGTATCTTA